GACGTGAGGCGAGGGTGTCTCCACCCGCGTGCTGGCCGGCACTCACCAGTGTCGCAGGCCGGGCCGGTGTACCCGGGCTGGCAGTGACAGGTGGGCTCCCCGCTCTCGGTCAGGCGGCACTCTCCCTGCCCGCAGGGGCGCCCCCTGCAGGCCGCTGGCTCCTCCCGGAGGTCGCAGTACTGGCCGGAGTAGCCCTCGGCGCACTGGCAGGTGTACGCCGGCCCCCGGGGCACGCACAGGCCGTGGGCACACCTGGAGAGGAAGAGGGGCGGGATGAGGCGGTCAGACCCGCGGGCACGGTCGGGCTGTGATTCCGGCTCCTGGCTCCCGCTCCCGCTCCGGCTCCTACCTGTTCCCCTGGCAGGAGTCGGCCGGCGCCCTCTGGTCGCAGAGCGGCCCGCTACGGCCGGGCGGGCACTCGCAGGCCACCCCCGTGTCCCCCCTCTGGCGGCAGGGCCCCTGGGCGCACACGCTGCAGGAGTGGCAGCCGGGCAGCACCCCGTCCGCGGCCCGCGGCGCGGCCCCCAGGTCCTGCAGCTCGCCGTCGATGCGGACGTTGTGGACGCAGCCGTTCAGCCCCTGGAAGCCGCGGTCCTGGCGCAGGCCGGGGCCTCCGAGAGGGGGCGGGACGCCTGCGGGAGGGAGGAGAGGAGCTGAGGCGCGCAGGAAACGGCCGTCCGGGACAGACAGGGGAGGACCCTGGTTCGAACCAGTAATCCGAGTCTCCCTGCGCTCCGATCCCTGGAGAAAACGAACATCCTGCTGTCAGCAGCATTTGCTTGTACTTGCTATTAAATCCTCAAAGCAGAGATACCTGCAAAATGGCTCAGCTACATACTGTCAGGCCCTGTACACCTAGAGGGCGCTCTACTTCTGTCCTGTTCTTAGTTCCCTGTGATTATTCACGTCTTCCGGTGTGTCTTTGTCACGGATGTCAGAAGGGGCGAACTGTGGCATGGCTGGAGAGTGGACAAAGACCCTGTGCGTAGCAGTGGGATGGGGGTTAGCCCGGGCTCAGCTGCTCAGGAGTCGTATAGAAACCTGAGCCCTCAGGCCACGGCCGTGGGGCGACCTGGTGCTAGGCGGGTCTCAGGACATCCGGACGTCAATGCTGAGCGAAGGGGAACGAGTGACCCGGAAATATATAGCCCCAGGGAGAGAGACACGGGAAGGACAAGCAAAGCAGAGGAAACTAGGGACAGGACAGAGTGAAAGCGCCCTCTAGCTGTAGAGGACATGACAGTCTTGTTGTGGAGCTTATTAAATTCCTGTGTCTGCTCTGCTCCTGGCTCAGCATTGAGGGTACGGATGTCGTGAGACCAGCCTAGCACCAGGTCGCCCCACGTCTGTGGCCTGAGGGCTTAGGTTTCTATACTGACATCGTCTGACCCCCTGAGCCCGGGCTAACCTCCATGTTGCCCCTCTCTACTGCTCCCCTGGTCATTCCACGGCTTGCCCTTCTGACATCCGTGACACATACTGTACAGATTTGTATTAAATGCAGTTGTTAAAAGACAACCCCCAACATGTTTAAGAGCTGAAAACCGATCCTAGTATTCATTTCAATTCATAATTTGAATTGTGTAGCGGAGCTCAGCTCAGCGTGTGGGTCTCCAGGACCAGGGCTGTGAACAATGATCTAAAGGACAAACGTGTTTTCAGCCTGGTGTTATAAACAGTCTGTAAGAGGAAGACCTACGAGCTGGGCAGTGGGAACACTGTGTTGGCCAGCCTGCGTGGGAAAGGGCTCAGAGTAGCAGCACTGTCTGACATCAAGTAGCTTTTTCTTCTCGGATAGATTTCCTGATCTCTTAGCAGCTAAAGTACGAACACATGCCCTGGTTGCACGGCCCTCCCACCATAACAGAAACCAAATCTCCGCATTATCTAGAGAGAACCCATCTTTCATTCCGTCTGCCTCTTTCAGGCTAGTGTGCCATTCTCATGTCCCCAGGTCTCTTCTGTTAATGGACGTTTCCACAGACGTGAGGACAGATGAATGAACGGAGGGATCTACAGACAGACGGATGAAGGGGTATATTCTGAAAGTGCCCATATTTATTTAAGGAAAGCCACACGATGCTCTGTTAAGTCCTTCAGGGGGCTAATTTAATTTACCACATGCTGTGTTGGAGCCTGTTTTGCTCTTTCAGAGGTGTCTTTGAACTGGTCACTGTAGATATTTGTGTTTCTCCTCTCAGAACCCCGAGGCGCCCCAGCCAGGTGTCGGCTCTTACCCCCGATGTACAGCAGGGTGTTGTGGTCCAGCGATGGCTGCCTCAGCAGCTTGCCCAGGCTCTTGGGGGCGCCCTTGTCCACCACCAGGCTGAGGGAGTGATTCTGGATCAGCAGCTCCACCGCGTGGAAGAGCCCGTCGTTCACGGACTCCACGCTGCTCCGAGACACAGAGTGAGAGGGTTGTGACCCCCGCACTGCCCCTGCAGGCCAGGCGAGAGCCGCCATCTTGTCGTGCACACCGCACACCCGACATGGGCCTGCCGCCTGCTCGCCCGAGCCCCGGATCACACAGGCTGCCGCGTGCTGTGGTTCCAAACCGAGCGCCGCGCCACGCTGTCTATTTAAACAGGTCGGGCCGGGGGTGAACTTACAGAGCTCAGAATTGTTCAGACAGATTTCATACGCACACTCAAAGCTGCCTTTAACCAGCGCAAAAAGACCGTTCTGGCACGCAGAGGTGAACATCCCCGGAAATCCTGCACTCCGGGACTGGGGTCAAGCCTCTTAGAAAACAAGGCTGCCCTGATTAAAAGAGTTAAAACTGCAAATGGCACTTGAAGACCTCACTCTGTAGTTCCTCAGAACTAACTACTAGAATGCCTTTTCACTCCCGTGATAACATTCTTTTCAACTTCCTATTTGTTTTTTCTGGATGCAAGATGATCCCAAGCAGCATTTCAAGGTTCAGTGTCCCCTCTCGTGTAGCGAGGCCAAAAAAACACGAGTCGACCCACTGTACAGAATGAAATACACGGCAATTTTGTTTTTGTGATCAAATAAAAAAAAAGTGTGAAACTTTGGGTGGAATAAATGGTTTTAGCTTCATTAATATTCAAAAAAGCTTAAAAGTAAAAGACTTCTTTTTCCCCTAAGGGACCGAATGTCTTTCATGTGAAAGGAGTGTTATAAAACCCCCTTTCTTGGCGGGTATAAGAGTGGGCTCAAGTTGGCACCCGTTAGACACAGAGCGCCACTACCACTTAACACCCTCAGCATGAGACTTTAGTTTTAGAAAAAACAAAGTGAAAACAAAATGATTCAGCTGAAATAAAAGCATTGCACGGCTCTTTGTGGCTTCACTGTTTTGCCCTGTTAGTACAGGCAAAACTTAAAAAGGTCCCCTACGTTTCTGGCACTATTGGATTTCACACGTTCATTTCAAACCACACGGCTAGTGAAAAGCGTATCTGTTCTGCCTTTTACTCCAAACTGTTCTTGGCAGGAGATTTTACTCTGTAAACAAGTACTGTACTGACAGAGAATGGTCATTTCTACAGGAGAAGGTATAGACCTCCAAAGGATATTACAGTTTTGATGAAAGGGCTGGCTAGCTTGTGAAATTTATATTTTAATGTAGCTGGAAAAGGGAATCTAATAGATTCCAAGCCATTTTATTGTATGCAACTGCAACAAGAACCCCAAACTCCCCACCTGGTCCCTGTACAAAACAGTGGAATTTTTTTGGAACAACGGAAGTATCTCCATTGGGCATGGTTATGCATATTAGACCAAAAAAAGCCTTGGAAAGGGATGTTGATGTCTGCTGCACTGTGCTCTGAAACATGACACCTGAAGAAGGCTCCACAGCCGAAACGTTCTGTTTCCTTTCATCCCTTTTCCTCAGGGAATAAACCTTTACTCGTTCCTTATCTACTAAGCACGACATGTTCAGATCGGATCGTGGGGGGTATGGTCATGCAACACCAGCTGTGCTCTTGGTCTCTGGTTCATTAATTGGGCATGTGGAGGCACAAGGCCATCGCTCTCTGCTGACCTGACCCTGGAGCCATCCCACAGCCCGTTTAGTCCAACAGTCCTCCCCTGCCCTGACCACTCTCAGTCCCCACGCAGAGCCCCACTGACCGGAGCAGAAAAGAACTGTGCCCTACAGTAGTTACAAAACAAGCGTTTGTGATCTTGTTCAGCCTTCCCATGTTGCTTCTGGGGTTGTGTCCAGTCTATTTGGAGCCTGGTGCGGTGTCACAACCGGCCCTCCAGGTTGGCTTATATTGAATCAGTCAGCTGTTGGACATGCTGACTGCAGCTCCGTCCGGCCCTGCCCGGCCACATCGCATTAGAATCCTGTTTCCAGACATCTCTTCTCCAGGCCCACGCAGACACCACCCCGTTCAATCCCTGTTCACCCATTCCCCCACTTCGATAAAGGAATAACTCTGCTTTATTGCGTTCTAATGACATTTTCTTTGAGCGCTTGGCGTTTGGACAGCTGCCTTTCATTACAGGTGGGCTGGTTCAATTTGTTGGCTCCTCGATACTGCCAACACCAGGGGAAAAAACGCAAGGCAGAAAGCTATAAAACATATTGCTTTGGAATATTTCAGTAAAAAAAAAAACAGAACTGCAATAAAGTGCTAACACTTGGCCTGTGATAAGAAACATTTAAAGGTGAAGGGAAGTCAGCTCAACCAAAAAGGTAGGCTGTAATGATTTAGTGTAAACACTGGAGGGCAGCAGGGAGCTGAGTAAATATTTTTGCACTCTGAAAACTTGCTCCTGCCAATATTGGGCTTTCAACAAGCTGACATTTTTGAGAGGGCAGGACAATGTGGAGGGAGGGGCAAAGATCTTTGATGTGTGGTTAAGGCTTCTTATTAGTTTTAAGTGGTCAAATGTGGCTTTTAATAAAAATCAAACGGAACACCCTACAGAACTTTCAGCAGACTGGTGTCATCTCGCTTTGGGAAAGTGAGAAATGGGTCTCCTCTTGATGTCAGTTTCCTGTAAACTCAAAATAAGTGCTCTGTTTCCGAATTCAACCGCATTAAGAATGAACATGTGCGCCAACTTAAGTACAATTACCCTAATCTTTAAAAGTCATCTATAGCTGGGCTGTAGACATAGTTGGCTCTCTAATCATTTGAGTACCATTTAGCCTCACTGAGTTTTGCTTTTCTAGATCTTCAGAGCTCTGTCATATTGAAACAAGCTGCCAAGACACGGAGATAATACTAGCTGTGCTGAAACATTTAACATAAAATAGAACAAACACCAACACATTCTCGGGTGATGGCTGGGACTCGGTTTCCATGCAGGGTCTTGAGGTACAGTAGAAGACTGACATTTGTACAACAGGTGTGGAAGTTCTACAGGAAAAGGAGACATTTCCATGGTTTACTGCAGGGGGAGAGGTAATGTAAAAGACTGCCCAGCTTTGTGTATCCTAGTTCCTCTTTACAGGAGTCAATAAGTACAGGTGTTTTATCTAAAGGACAGCTTAGTTTGATTTAGTTCTCTGAGAGCCTCCTCTTTGTTCTCACTGTGAGAGCATTCCTTTAACCTGGGCTGTGACTGACACAGGAATGATCGGCACTGCAGATAACTAGAACACCATTTTCCCACCTTGCTTACTGCATCTCTACCTCCTTCCTCCCTATCTCAAGTGTCTGCCACAGAAGGCCAAAAAACCTTGCTGAACTCTTGGCTCCCAGAAACGCAGAATAAACCAGGGCGAGAGACTTGGCCGTCTCTTTAATCGTTTCTTTGTTTTTCCCTCGCCGCTCGTGGCTGAACTCTCAGACCGTATCGCCACTTGCGGCTTCTGTGATGTGGGGAACTGCAGCACGATGACTTCATCTGCCTGCTCATCGCTTTTGCATAAATAAAAGAACAAGACAAAAAAACCTGTCCAAAGTCCCAGGCTGTTGTGTACACAAGAGATATGATGTGTGGATTTTAATTGAGCTGCCTATACAACAAGGAATCTGCAACAACGCAGGTATGTTGCCATTAACAGGCTGACTTGATTTTTGTCAGATCTCTCTTGATACTACTGTATGGCTGTTGGTACCAACATACAGTATAAATCGATGTTACAAGTAATATGGCAATGGCTGAGAACCAGATGGCTGTGAACACCTACAGAAACCAAGCAGCAGCAGTGCTACATCATGTAGCTCTCATCTATGTGACCACTAGAATCCGCCAACTCTTTCCCTCACAGGGAGCATTAAACTGGGCTCCTGGCTGGATAAACACAGTGCCACTCATATACAACAGCCTCACCACGCTGAGTCTCCACAAGAGAAAACAACCTGTCAAAATGAACGCTGGCTTTCGCAGGGTCCATCTGATCAACTGAATCCACAGCATGACTGAGAACGGACAGAGCCTAACACAGGAAAAATTAACACTGGACTGAGCTTCTCCTGCAGCTAATCACCCTTCATTCTGAGTCCAATCAGCCAGCTCATTGCCTTCGGTGTCGTTCTGTTCCTAACTTGTGCTCTACCTTCTGCAGGAAGACCATTACTGGTAGACCATAGAGGCTGAAAAGAACAGAAAGCTGTATGGTCCACTAATCTCTCTCCGCTAGGACAATACCCGTGGCACACATTTCCTTCAGGACCGTTTTCCCCGACGTCAGAAGTTAAGCGAGAGAGTGGCACTTGAGGCGCTGAATTTCCAGCATCCATCATGACCCTCTCGGGGCAAGACGGGCAGAAGGAGGGGCGGAGGCAGTCTGGAAGAGCCCTGTGAGCTGGCTGCTGGGACTGCTCTCAACATGCAGCTGCAGCTGATGTTTTCTCATCTCCCGCTCGACGGGCAACCTGCTTCTTTCACCTGTCTGCTCCCTCTGGGGTGAACACAGTGTGTACAGTGACGGGGGCGGGCTAACGTACCTGTACACTGTGGTGGGGGGGTAGTTGGCAATATCATAGACAAGCCGGATGTGCCCCTGGTACAACTCCAGGGCCAGGGGGTCATTGTCTTCCTTGTACAGCAAAGTCCCATAGTCCTTGTCTGTGGCCACCTGGGAAAAAATGCAGCAGGTGAGGCAATACTGATGCAGCAACGAATCCCCTGGAAAATGGAATGGGTTCAGTTAGTTAAACCATGAGCTCAAGTGCCAGAGGAAGAGCTCAGGGTGAATGAAAGCCAGAAGACCCTAATATAAGCCAGATCGACAGCAGAACGAGCAGTACACACCAGCACACATCTGGGTCAGTGATTCCTGCCACATGTGGGAATCCCAGACCTGGTGGACAACTGTCTGGAGGCTCAAAGTCACAAGCCTCCTCAATAACGTTCCCTCACTGCAGTCTGTTGGAGAGGGACTGGGAAGCAATGTGCAGTGGTCCTCATTAGAAATATTTAGCATTCACCGCCCTTAAACAGGAGGAGACTACCTGTGTGTGCACACTGCTTTCCACCTGTTTCCAGTCATACTAGAGCTATCCTGAAAGTACAGGACAGTAACGGAGCTATCCTGAGGGAAACAATGAGCGATGTGTGGCACAGAATGAATTGGCTTCAAGCATGAATGGGTTGTGATCTGACAGGAGTCTGTTAGTTTGAAGTTCTTCCTTTCATTCTTGGCTCTTTGAAAAAGGTTTGTGCTTATTGTTTCCTTATCGCTTAAAGTCGAAAGGGTTAAGGGTCTGTGGTAGAGTGCAAGTTTAAAAACAAACTCTGCACAATGACCCTGCGGGTCTTGCATGAAACTTGCAAAGTCAGTGGGGTTTGCCTACGCATGGCGATAAAGAACAATGACGCTATTTTTAATCCATTTCCCCCATCCCCCTTCAATTAATTTTCTCTCTTTCTCTGCAAACGCTGCAAACCAGGAGATTAGCTTGCTGGGCTAAGATGCAATCCATTTATGACTCATTTATACTGATTGCACCGATAGCTGCTTTAATGCACTTCTATTATCATAATATATATCCTCTGGAGCCTTATTATTCACACGAGTGGACAAAAGGTGACATTTGGATAATGTCACCCTGTACATCGTAATTTAAACTGCCTGGTGTGGAGATGCAGATCAGGATGAGGGAGATCTAGTCTGCAGGCTTTTTTCCTGAGAAAGCACTTCAGAGGCTAATAGGGAAAAATTAATCAGTTTAAAAATAAAAGCCTGGGAAGGGTAAATTTCGGCGTTCTTCTTTGGGCACAGTTAGCTGTATTACACAGACAAGCCTCCTCCATGTCCAAGAGCCGGAAGAAAAAAAATCCATCCTTGCCTCTCTGCATTTTAAGCTGACTTATTGCTTCTTCTGGATATTGCAGAAGTGATGGCAACATGACACACTTTCTTCCAGATTCGCGGGCAGCTGTAAAAGCCAGCGGAGCGAAGGGAAAAGGATTTGTATTGCACAGAAGGCAGGGTCATTCTGTCTCTTACTATGAGTACGCAGAGTCTTGTACAGAAGCCCTTTACCACCCACAGCCTCTTGAAAAGCTTGGGCCACTGTAAAAGAACAGCCACTTAGGTGTGTGACTTTAATATCCAGGGGTTTCTGTAAACGATCTCTGATGCTAGTCTCACGCCCCCTCTATAAAAGACTATTACAGATCCGAAATACCCAATATCCCGTGCAATACCAGGTACAGGCGAATCTGTTTGCAAGCCTGGCACTCAAAAGCAGAGCTGTGGCCAAGGCTGTGTTAGCTCTCGTCAGCCCTAACCCTGCCTCCTCCTCTTTTACGGCCTCCTTCTTCGTCTGCACACTGTCTCTCCACTCTTTCAGTGGGGCGTCACGCTCCTCCTGCACTCTGACAGAGGTGGTACTGGGTAGATGGGGGGGGTGGGGAGGGGATCCAGAATTTGCCTCCTGGGCTTCCCCTATCCTGCTTCAGCTGGAACCCCCCGTGCTGATCCGGAGAGGGCCTGGGCGATGACAGACGATGACAGGGCGGAGGCCGCAGGTCAGCGGCGGAGACGTTCGTGAAGCCTGCCCCGAGGATGGAGGGGGGGCTGCCGGATCAGTTTCTGTCTGGGGAGAACCCGGGCTCAGGAAGCCTCCCGTCTCCCATGGTGATGCTTCCGAGGGGAGAAGCTCACAGGCTAAATTATAAATCAGGCGCTTGAGGGGCAAAGGGAGCAGGGAGTCACTCATGGAAGAGTCGGAGTTTGTGAAAGAGTGTTTGTGGTCGACGGGGAATTTTAAGCTTTGTTCTCTCCCTCCCCAGCATCTTTTTTTAATTGGTACCTCGACATCAGTGAAACTTTGATAAATGCTTAATTTAAAGGGCAACGAGACATGGTCTGCAAAAAGACAGACAAGATAGTGAACTCTGAGACTTGAACCTGGGTGAGAGTGAGGGGTGAGGAGGTTACGGGGAAAATAGACAACAGTGAACAGTTATTGGGAAAAATAAGCGAGTCATGTACAGAGGAAGAAAAAAAGGGCAGGATGTCATCATTCACCTCCTGCAAGAGATGCCTCTTCCTGTTTTTCTGCTTTACTATCAACAGTGCTGAACTATCCCCCTGTTGCATGAAAGCTGGCTTTCCCAGTTTAAAGGCCGGAATCCAGCCAAGACAAGACAGAGATAGAGAGAGAGGAAGTGAACAGGAGAAGACTTGAGCGCAATGCAGACCACCGTGTTTGTTCACAGGGTATTTAAACGAAAAGAGGTCATGTGGGTTTTGCGGGGTGGGTGGTCTGGCTCTGTACCTGAAGGGAGATGTGCGTGGTCGGACGGATCTTGGTCCCGGAGAGCTCCACGTAGGCGCTCTTGCCCAGGAAGTGGGCCGTGATGATCTTCTGGCACTTCTCCCCGAAGAACCCCGGCAGACAGCGGCAGGCGGGCTCCCCCGAGACCACCAGGCACTGCGCCCCGTTCTGGCAGTCGGCCTGGTCACACGGGCTGGTCTGCAGGAGGATCATGGGAGGGGGGCTTTCGCAGAACAGGCCGCTGGAGCACGAGGGAAAGACAGAAGAGCTTCGTAAGAAAGGTTACCAACGAGAGGAGCTCATGGGGCGCCTCGCCCGTGTGTTACTAAGTGACCTGAAGATCTCATCGAGCTGTTTCTTGACAGAAGCCAGAGCATCAGCTTCAACAGCAAGGTTGGGCAGCTTGGTCCACCACAGCCACTGTCCCCATTGTATAAGGGGGCACCCCCTTTTCATGGTTGTACGAATGTTTCCGTCTAGTGTCTACTTGTGTCCCCCACGGTTCGTGCTTCATTGTTCACTCTGAAGAAGAAGCCCACTGGGCCCTCTGACTCAATACTTGGTCCCCTCTTAGTCTTTCTCTGTTCAGGACTAAAAAGGTTCAGTTTTTTCTGCCTGTCGGTGTAGGGCAGCGATGGTGATCACTGGGCTTCACACACAGACAGACAACACCAGGCTGCTGTTTGGGAAATGACAGCAGGGCCATCCTGGTCTGTTTAGTCTCGGCCTTGCATCTCAGGTAAACCTGGAGTAAGAGGTGTGTGTGAGGACTCGGGGGGCCGCGAGAGACAGACTGACGGTCTCCCCCCTCCCTTCTCGCTTCGGAGATCACGTTTCCGCCCGGACGAGGCCAGAGAGCCCCAGAGGAGAGGGCAGCCCATCCGCTCAGGGGCACGGGCACACACAGGCACTTCCAGCACTCCTCCATAACCAGCCTGCTGCCTCAATCTGCACGGCTGCACTCCATTCAACACCTTCAACAGTCCCGGGAGACGGGCTGGGCGGTAGGAGAGGCCCAGCCGCTCTAAAAAACGTTTCATCGACAGCACAAGAAATTGAATCCCATTATTATTTTTTTCGCCAGGCAGGGTCTTCAGTATTTTGACAAAGATTTCAAACAGCCCTGCAACCCAGCTCATGCTATTTCACAATGCACTCGTGGAAGTGACACACAATAAGATGGATATGTGGAACACCCGCAATTGTTAACAAAACTGCAAGAAATCTAGCCTGCTAATGAGCGCTCTGACACTTTTGTCTGACTCTGCTTCTGGGTATGGAGTTACACACTCAAAACTGGGTCAGTGTTCCCACACGCATGGCGTGAGTGACCGTCTGCGTCCGGCCCTGCGGTGCACAAAGCCATGCTCCCAGGTGCTGCCGAGACATCCGCCTGCTCCATCTTTGGCATCGCATATGTCTTCGCTCTGTTTCAGCTCTACGGTGTGCAAGAGCACACGCAGTGGCAGCGGTTTCCCTGCCGCAGAGGCGCTCACCCGGGTCAGCCCCCCGCCCCTACCTGAACCCCTCTTTGCAGATGCAGGTGTATCCATTGACGGCGTCCACGCACTGCGCCCCGTGGCGGCACTTGTTCTCCAGGCAGTCGTTGTAATCCTGCTCGCAGTGCGGGCCCACGTACCCCGGCAGGCACTCGCACCTGAAAGAGCCGGGACACAGGCTGGTCTGAAACCGCGGCCGCCAACAGGGATCGCCATCCACTCTGTGCGCACTCAGCCAAGCGGGAGTAACGCAGGCTGCACTGCATCTGCAAGCCCTTCCGTGAGGGACAGTTAAAGGGATATGGAACAGGAGCAGGAATCCCAAAAGCCGCTGCCAGGAAAGACACTTCAGCTTTATATACCCGGATCAGATCAGCGAAGAAGATGCATTAACAAGCGTTTGTGCATCTTCTTCGCTGATCTGATCCGGGTATAAAATGACGAAGAAGATGCACAAACGCTTGTTAATGCAGGGGTTGGGCAAACACCATAGGAGGCATGCTTGCAAAACAGTGATATATCTTTGTACAGATGCAGATCACCCCCCCAAAAATTCTTTCATCTGTTCAATGAATTTTGAAGACATAAAAAATTCACCGGGCCAGGTCTGATTGATTGTCTCCCCTTAAGATTTAAAAAAATATCTTTCGCAAAATTCAAGTACCACTTTTGCTTACATCACACAGGCTTAGTATTCCAGGGCTTGTATAGCTAAACATTAGCTAAGCCATTCACTAGAAAAATAGTAATAACTGTATTAGAAATAATACAGGACAGACTGGGATCCCTGCTTTCTCTTTGTTGCCTGTAGCCTAGAGCCTTTGTGTTTCATGTCATGCTTACCTGTATCCCTTCGAGAGGGAGATGCACTTGGCGTCGTGCTGACAGGGGTTAAATCCTGGAATGCAGTGATCAATCACTTCCTCACACAGGTCGCCTGCAAGAGACAGGCTCTCGGTCAGCCGTCAGCGATCAGCGAGACGGATCCCCCGACACTGGAGTCAGGTTCTCGGGCGTGGCCGTCAGCCCGGCCGCCAGAGTCTGCCCTTCGACCCTCAGCGCCGTCACGTCAATCCCCTGTCCCCGTCCGCTCTGAGCAGCTAAGAACTGCTGCCCGCAGTGTGCATCCTCCTCCGCTCTGAGCTCATTTTCCCCCTGTGTCTTTCTGGCTCCAGTTTCAGCAAGTCTGCTCACAGGCGGTGATGAGTGGCAGACATTGAAAATACCTCTTTTTCTGAAGTCAGTTTTGCCCTGTGGCTTCTGTTGTAAACCAATAAGATGAGACACCTATCCCGTCTTAAAATCTCAGGGAATTATATGGCAGGCAATCCGCCAAAAATACATTTACATAAAGAAAACAAGAAAATGCTAACCAGCCACACTGCTGAAACAAAACTCAAGTTATTTTTTAAGACTGGGACGGTTGAGAACCTCAGATGAATTTGCTGCTATTAAACAGTTGAACAGGGTGGGCTGAACAGCCCTCACTTGTGAACTTGCTCATGTTCTTACAGCACGCCTCTTGTGCTCTGTGTGTAGAGATACATTAGCGCCACATGTTATAATCAGCCATTTCAGCCTTGGATTGGTTGGGTTGGAGGAATTCAGCACTACTTGTTCTGCTCCTGTAACCTCTGCTTCAGGAGCTACAGTATCAGATGTGGGAGTCGATTTGTCTGCATTGAAGGCAACAGAAACTACAAAATGTTAAAAGGAGTTGCACTTCATGTCTGTCCAAAACAAATATTTTAGTTTTTAGTCACAATCTTTAGTCCTTACAAAAGCCTGTGCCAGCCTGGCTTGACCGCTGTATTAAAATCCCCAAGCCTGTATTAGTCAGCCTTTGGAAGCACTTGTGTGTTTGTGAATGACCTGCAGTAAATGCAAGGGGGAAGTATCTAATGAACTAGTAAGCTCTAGTAAGTAGGTTTGAGTTCAGTCTACGGCCGTGTCTGTCAAATTGGGTGTATTAGGTAATCTCACAAGCACATCTCTCTTCGAGTTAGATATAATAAGTTTTTTATTCAAAAATTATTTAACCAGGACGTCCAGCTGAGATCAAGATATTCTTCTCAAAGAAATGTGGAGGCTGAGGTTGGGACAGGAAACAGACTATAACCAAATTAAGGTTGGGGAAACTTTTGACAGACTTTACATCCCGTTTTTTGGTTTGGCCAAGATACTAAAGTTAACAGTCTTTAGAAACAGCTGGACAGGATTCTTGGATCAGAAAGACTACAAGCAGCTAAAGTAGCAAGAGCAGCTGAATCACCACCTCATTTTTGTCACTTGTCTCATGTTCCGATGTTTTGGATCTTAAGAAGAGTGAAAGATGACAATGAGCACAACTTAGACTGGACGTCAAATAACGTCTCATCCGAAAAGGAGTTTTGACTCACAGCCGAAGGACCTGATGAACTGCGGTGCTCTAAACTTCATTCTGGTCAACGTCTCAAGGTACACAGCCACTGTCAGCTGCGGTAAATGCCTGCCATTGGCGAACCTGCCCCCCCTTCCCAACATTCACAGTGAGCCGGGGTAGTTTTAGATGTTTCTCACATGACGGTTTCACCTTTTTCTACAGGACTGGAACTCATTTTCAGATATTGGATAGTGGCTGCATGCAGTAAAAAAAGAAGATTCTATATATATATACACACTGCAGGGGCTAGCTGAATCTGCCAACTCGAAACCTGCTCTGGGTTTAATAAATTCCATCTCCTTTCCACCCACTAAGTAGCTACTGCTGTGCAACAGCCATATTTCACATGATCAGCGGCATGATGGGTGATGTGTCATGTCTCACCAGCTCAAGCCACTAACAACCTGGGCTCCACAGGCCGTATTTCAGCAAACAGCTCAGCGGTGCCCGTCTTTCAGCTGGCGGAGTAACAGATTTCTGTGCGGCTGCCGAGCAGATGCAGTGCACACAGCGCTCAGGTTTCAGAGGCTTCTCTGCCTTCTGCTGCCAAATTCATTTCCTTTTCAGTTTCCTTCATCCTGCCATTCAGAGTTTGGGAAGCTGGCGCTGTCCAGCAGACACTCGGAAGGTGGTGAACGGGTTTAAGAGAGCGCTTTTCTCTCTCTCTTCCAGAGAGCCGTCTGCTCCTCGGTTTTCGTTTGACCTGTAGGTCTTGCCATGTGATCTTGGAGCGCATGGCCCGGTGACTCAGAATGACGCAGGCAGTGAGTTATCTGTTAGTCCAGCAAAAGGCCGTTGGTCAGTTTTTAGTGCACCCAGGAGGCTGAGCAGGGGTAGAGAGGAGGCAGACTTCATCAGATCAGATCTGTCATTCCTGTCATCAAGGGCTGCGGGAACTTCTAGTTTCCATTTCACCCGAGCTCTAAATTAATCAGCTATTTGAAATCATAATCTGAATTAAATGGTGATTTAAGGGGGAGGGCGTCCTGTCCTGATCCTGGCCCTGTAGGACAGCAACTTTTCATTCAAGCTCAGTTCTTTGCTGGTCCTGTTCCAGTGATTATTGGTCAAATTGGGAAAGCTGATCAGCTTTTCTATGTTCTGAAAGTGTTGGGAAGTGTAAGCCGTGCTGGACTGCAAGACCAGACACCTCTGATTCAAACTGTGATTTAAGGCCCTTCAGGCTCTGAAACGAAGACTAATACAGTGTGATTAACCACAGAGAAAAGAAACAAAGTACAGGATTGCAGTACGAAGGAGAAGGACAAAAAGATTGCAAGTGTTTTTTTTAATACATTTAGTGTTAAATGCATTAACCGTAACTGCAAATATTATTTTGTCTGTATGAGCCATACCTGAGTCATTAACATCGTATAACTCCATTACTGCCTTACAACCTGAACACTAAAGATCTCAAACCAATTTTTTTTACAGCTGAAAACAGTGTTTTTTCTAATTCTGAGGCTCCTCCTTCCATATTATTAAAGAGAGTCCAGGTCTGCATCTGTTTTAAATCTGTTCCATTCAAGTTGGAGTTTCACTTTTATAAAGTAACTTGAGGACAGCTCTTGTCCAAAGGCACTACATAAATCAAAGTTGTGTTGCACCGTGCTCTATTACCTACACATGCAGTGGACACATTGTGCAAGGCCTCATTTGCAATAACTATACCTTTAGATCTCCACTATTCCCTGTTACACACAAAGGCCTTGATGTGAAAATGCGCTTAGTAACATAATCGCATGCGACAGCTATGCAATCAATACTGAGGAGAACACATGGACCCACGGGCTACTGAGAGGCTGGAAGAGAAGAAGAAACAGACCTTTTCTCCTCAGGAAAGAGCTGGCATCTTGCAAAGGAAAAGAAGCAGAGAGAAGCGTCAGAAATGCTGAGCAGACACCTGCTAGCTCACTCCCTGACTGATGAAGGGAGAGCAAACCCTGTTAGAGGTTTATCCTGCTGACAGGTTGTAATTTGGAGGCACGATGGCATATTCTACTATCTGCTTAAAACCTGGTGTTCCCCACTGGAAATACTATAGACAGCGGAAGCAAACATTGTCAAATGGGTGGTGTTCTTTCCATGTCATGGTCGAAATATAAATACATCATATAAAATATCTTTGTTGCTCTTATTTGATCAGTCCAGAGAAAGTGAGGTGTGCATCACAAATCAGAGGACACATGTGGAAACAGCGGTGCTGTAGGGGTGCGAGGAGTCCCAGCCCAGTTCAGTGAAGATCTGAAAAGAGGTTTATTTTGTAGTGGAGAGGCCTCCTCAAGATCAGACTGACAGTGATTCTCTCTCTATCTGATCTGCTCACCATTGCTCAGAAGGGCCCATTTATGCTTGCAAACATCTTCTCTAAGTGTCCTAAATTTGGCCAATCAGAAGAGCACATTTTAGGTTCTACATGTTTGGCGTTAACCATTTTTCAACACAAGAAACTAAGTGGAAGATTAAAATCTTGTCAGGAGACACAGGCTAGACAGGATGGAAGTTTCTTGTCCTTCACAGGCATTTGAATAGATGAGAAATTCATTTTCATTCAGGAATGTGCAAAGGGCAGGGGAAAAAAGACAATTAAAACAGATCTTGTAAAGCCTGTCAGTTTGACTGTGGGAAATTGAACATGTTGCCAAGCAGTAAAATAAATTATTCAATCAATCACGTCATCAGTATGGTTAATTTTACATAAAGTCTTTCTTGTAAAGTTGACCCAAGCATTTCACTTTTTACAAAAAACCTGCTATTTAGCAAAAGTAGAAACAGTCCTGCAGGGGCAGAAAGTTTCTAATTCAGTGAAAAACACCCAAACTTGAAAACTGAATAAACACCGTGTCTGTGTCTGGACATTTGTCCTTGTCCTTAGGTCCTGATGCAGGCGATCGTATTTATAGCACAGGTGCACCGGTGCTTTGGAAGAGATTGCACTGCTTTTGTGCAGGTGCTGATTTGAATAATTACTCCCCTGCCTTGCATTAACACCACCTAGTGACAGACGCAAGGCTCGGAGGAAGAGAATCCGGCTTTGCTTTTTGTCACAATCTTGAAGACTGGGCCGGGTGAAGGCTGTGTCTCTGTGTGTGTGGACTGCAGCCCACATCTCGGACACAGCTTGGCCACAGGGTCCACAAGCGTCACTCCCACTCCACTCACCCTGACATGGGTGGTTTACATGAAGCGAGGTTCGCCAGGTGGGCATGGGCCTGCACCAGGTGTGCACGTCCGGCGCGCAGGTACCTGTGTAGTTCGGAGGGCACAGGCAGGTGTAGTTGTTGATGCCGTCCACGCAGGTGGAGTTGTTCTCGCAGTCGTTGTCCTCGCAGTCGTCTGGGTTCACCTCGCAGCGCTCTCCCTCGAACCCGGGCGGGCAGGCACAGCTGCAGGAGCACAGAGAGGCCGGGGGTAACAACAGAGATGAACACGGATCTCACTTCCTGTGACTGTCACACATCACCGCAGTCCTGCGCTCAAGCTCTCTTTTCCTGCGCTGCCTGCTGAACTACGAAACAAAAACGTGCTTCCAAGAAAGGACAAATAAATAAGTGAATTTCCCTGTAAACAAGTCAAAGTCAGGTGTATATATGTCTACATGAAGGGTGCTTTTAGCTACTTCCATGATCGCTTTAACCTGTGCGACCATAAGAAGGCAGGAAAGCTGGCAGTCAACATTATCTGCTCAGCCTACAAGTTTGATGTACTCATGATTTTGGGCCTTGATTGGTGAGCCTAAAGGAGCACTATGGGTTTGCTCCATCAATAACATGGGGAATTCTGAACACAATTCTCTTATGAACTCCTCAGACTGAGTTTCTGTACCTGATGTTCTTTGGAGACCAGAATGTCGCTCTTCAACTAATTCCAGGACAGTAATATCCTCTCTGTAGCATATTCTAAATGAGGTCTTGATAGTGCACTGTGCAAATAATGACTTTTCCTACTACAAATCAAGCATTTTGAGCTTAATTGTCATGCTTGTGTTTAGATTCTGGCAAGATTCCTGGATGTCGAAATGCCATATCAGCAAAATGAGTTTAGACAGAATTGTTGGCTGTGACTCCTCTAAATTTCTATTTTAGAGTCTGTCAGCAAGATAGCATTTCACACTAAGACACTGGTTTAGGAAAAGCAGGGCACATATTTGCCTTTCTTGATTTATATCTTTCATGTTTTTAACTATAGAGTCCAGTTTTATATGTAACCTGAGACAGTCTTGGAACATGTTAATTTCTATAATCACTCAAGTAATTGGCTCTCATTCAGCATTAGATTAAAAGGCACGGGAACTTCAGAAGAGTCAGGAACGAGAGGAGGCCGTTCTGCCCATCTAGCCCAGTTGGTAGTTAGTAGTTAATCAATCCAAGAATCCAAGAATCTCATCCAGCTGTCTCTTGAAAGAAGCCAAGATACTGGCTTCAGCAACATGGCTGGGTTACTTGTTCCACGCTCCCGAAAACCATTTGTGCAATGAAGCGCTCCCTGTTCTTAGTTCAGAATGCACAGCCTCTTGGGTGACCTAGAAGAAACCGTCGCTCAGGGACTATGGGCTCCTGTGCTGTAGTGTGCTGGTTCCCATGCGAGGCTGGGCTCTGGATGATGTTTGTACTGTGCTGGAGCCACGTACAACACAGGTCCTAAAGTTTCAGGAGGAGTTTCGGGTCCCCTGCAAGGGTGCTGACGTACACATTTCCCGAGCTCGGCTTTCGAATGTTGTACACAGCAGAACATTACAAAACCACTACAAAATACAGAGATAACCACCGCGCACAGCTTTAGATGTGACAGACAGTGAATGCAAGAGTATGCAATAGATAGTGAACAAGTGGTGAATAGGTGGCGAACAGGTAGTGGATATGTGGTGAATAGGTCTCATTCCAACATGCATGTACACAATGAAGCCTGGTACCTGAACTGGTCCTCTCGCCCTGGCTGCAGGTGACAGGTGCCTCCACTGGCGCAGGGGGAGCTGATGCAGGCGTTGATGGGCGTCTCACAGTTCTGGCCCTGGGGAGACATTGTGCATCGTGACAATGCAGCCCCTGGCCTCGCGCGCAGCTCAGGGCTCGAGCCCGAGTTAACCACTGAAAACTCGAGGGTCGTGGGTAAAGCCAAGAGTGCAGTAGGTGATGAAACGATTCACTTCTGTCTGACTTATGCAGGAACGGAAGAACCAAGAGATCGACGTACTCAGTGCAGCAGAAACCTAAACTATGGAACTGCCTTTTTTCTAAAGGATACATCTAGGGCAGATCTCACGACTGCAGACTTAGCTCTGCAAAAGCTGCAGCACATCACTTTAATCTGCAGGCAGAATTTACACTGAAACTTTATTTGGGGTTTTGAAAACCACAGATTGTTTGAAATAAAAGACTATACACACACGGAGGGCAAAATGCGCTTTCTTTCCATAACTTCCAGAGAGCCACCACAGTTTCAAAATCTATGTAGCAGGCCTTTCGTCTCCCCAGCATGTCCCCTCTCGTGATCAAAGCTGCTTCTCGGGTTCAATTTCATTTTATTTTGTTCCCCTCCTCCCCGTCCACCTCCCCTCTTCCCCTGCATTTTCTCACACTTGGCAATTAATTAGAGCCCAGAGGAGCCGGTGCATAACAGCCTCCTCCTGACTGAAAATGTCACCAGAAACCCAGAGCGGAGGTGGCCTGAACAGGGAAATGCCGCCTGGATTGATGGACAGCACGTTGAACAGTCTTTGCACAGGACGTGGGGGGACCAGCGCAGGGAGCTCGAGTTTTAATTAAGAGAAGAGCCTCAGTTTTCCAGCTGACGAAAGGTTAAACTCTCATCGGTGCTTCTCGGCTGAGGCGCTGACAGGAATCCCATAAGTAAACAAAGGGCTGACAATCTGAGCTGGACAGCAGAGGCACGGGGTCAAGGGGCTGCTCTCTAGTGAGACAAAGGCACCCTCTTTGCAAACAGGAACATGAGAAATCTGACCACCTGGTTGTGTCAAGGGGGGGATCAAATTCATTTCTATTGAGTTTTTAGTGTCCTATTGATATATCTAATCATTACATTACCCTCAGCTTCATCTCCCGGCTCCAGGCTTTTCTGATAAACTGCTCTCGTCTCTTGGAGCTGACTGTTGTGAAAGATACAAGTCTGCCTGGTAACTTGGGATTTTTTCTTTGCTCTGCGACTTCAATATAGCCAAGCTAAGCTGGACTGGGTTTCTACTTCAGTAGTTCCTTCCTGAGGAAAAGCAGGTCACTGCTGGCAATGGTTCTTGTGGACCAGTAGGTGGCGATGGTCTCTACGGACCAGGTATTCTTAGCCAATGCCCCACTACACCGCATGGGAGAGACTCTGCACAGAAGGCCTGGTTATTTCTGACCACTGATTACTCCATGGTATTGTTTTTTTAACAACACCATGCAGGAGATTACTATTGCTTCCTGGCTGGTTCAAGTGTTCCCAGTCTAGTCCATCACATTTCTTTCTCCCCAGTTTCTGCGGGGAGTTATCTTTCACTTCTCCAACTCACCTGCTACTTTGTGAGCTGTTGACTCAAAAGTACAGTGGCTGGTGCATGTCACCCAGGTTTTGGACAAAGTGCTTTCTTCCTGCATGGAAACTTCTTTGGGATCCTTCTCAATGAACTCTACTATATGAAATGCTGCAAGTATTAATAACCTTTAAAAGCACAGCGCTGTGATGCCATTTCATACATTCACTCAGCAGAAAGATATTATTAGAATAAAGCCCAGTGATAGCTTAGGAAAACCTTGTAAAAAGGGTCATTGTGTGAAAATGTAGAAAAAACGTCAATAGAGCAAAATTAAACCGTGGCACGACTTTTAACTGCTCTGCTGAGATCTTACAGAGGCAATGTACAGCATGTGGCAGCTTGTAAACAGATGGCTCAAGTCTTAAGAGAAACATTAAAAGGCTGAATTACCCTCGGATATAAAAAAACCCATCTACAGCTAGCGTTCCAATCAACCTGGCAAATGCGTTTGCAGCAGTTCTGCAGCGTCTGCTGTCTGCGCTTCGTCTTGCTGACATTCAGAAGACTTTTGGGAGCCGGCGGATGTTTTGTGTGAGATGAACCCTGGTGCTCCTGCTCGTGGGGAGCTGCTGGAGAGGACGACAGGACCCGCCGCTCTCACCTTGTACCCATAGGGACAGGTGCAGCGGTAGAAGCCGGTGACGTCACTGACGCAGGTGCCGTTGTTCTGGCAGGGGGTGGACAGGCAGGGGGCGCACTTGGACAACAGCGTAACGTCTGCAGGGCCTGTGAATGAGCAGGGGAGGCAGAGAGGGAGGGGGCTGTGAGTTGTGAAACACTTCTCCTCCGGGGTGATGAGTTCAGGTGTAGCTGTATTCTAGATTAGCATCACAACCCTGTGATATAGCTCCTTATATTGTCTTGAGTTTCTGTGTGCTCCGTTTTGTGCCGCGGTTTTTCCTGACATCTGCATTGTCCCTATGAATATCCCCGCTAATGTGGCACAGACTCTGTCTCATGAAGCATGTATGCATTTGTAGTTACACTTCTTTTTTGCTTGATTCCTTTCCACAGAGTAAAAAAACATGACATAATTTAAATTTAATACACACCACAGAAAAAAGAATGAGAAACAAATGGGCCACAACTGAAAACATGTTGTGGAATAGATGTACATGAGAGTTTAGGAATCACAGAGAAGGTTATTATTTCAGAAACTATTTAAAGTTGCTGGAGTTTATTTTTTTAAAGAAGCAATTACACAGCTGTAAGAAGCTGTAGGACTGGAAAGAAAAGCAGGAGACACTGATTCCCCAGAAAGTGGTCAGGAGCTGACAGACAGTGGACCGAAGCTGACAGTGGACAGAAGCTGACAGACAGTGGACCGGAGCTGACAGACAGTGGACAGAAGCTGACAGACAGACAGTGGACCGAAGCTGACAGTGGACAGAAGCTGACAGGCAGACAGTGGACAGGAGCTGACAGACAGTGGACCGGAGCTGACAGACAGACAGTGGACCGGAGCTGACAGACAGACAGTGGACCGGAGCTGACAGACAGTGGACAGAAGCTGACAGACAGACAGTGAACCGGAGCTGACAGACAGTGGACCGGAGCTGACAGACAGTGGACAGAAGCTGACAGTGGACCGGAGCTGACAGACAGTGGACCGGAGCTGACGGGAAGGCAGTGGACCGGAGCTGACAGACAGTGGACCAGAGCTGACGGGAAGGCAGTGCATCTCTCACCTTTGCACTGGAACCTGTTGAGTGGGGTGGTGAGCAGCAGCCTGTCAGCCATGTCTGGGGGCCCACTGCAGCGGGCGATACCAGGCTCTTTGAATCCTGCCTTCACCCACTGGGACAGCCAGCGCAGGTCGCAGTTACAGTACAGCGGGTTGGCGCCCAGAGCCCTGCCAAACCACAGACAGATGCCCTCAGGATCAGCTGCACACACAGCAGCACACTGACACTGTCTTTACAACACAGTAACATGGTTACAGTCTTCTGGCTCCACATCCAACAGAGCTTCTAATCGCCTGTTTCACCAAACCGTCATCATCAGATCGCAGGCTGTGGCAAACCCGAGCCTGAGCAGCACACATAAGGTCCAGGATGGGACCAGTCCGGGGAAAGGGACATATACGTGCCACACAAGGCGATGATTCAGAGACACCAGTTAACCCATCCAGCACGTCACTGGGAGGCGGGAGAGCTGGGTGGACCAATCCGGTATCAAAGCTATGATCCAAACCTCGAAGAGCAGAATTGTACAGTACACCACCAGATCTGAAGGATGATTCTCCTGCTTTCCGAGAAAACTGTGGGTTCAAAGTAAGTTTTGTCACCACCTCTCTGAAATCCAAAGCTGGCTGTACTTATAATAATAATAATTAAAGAAGTCAGTAGGCCCTGGTGATTAATTCCTTTCAGTAGTAGTAAAATTTACAAAGGCTTCCTGTGGGGCCCAGTTTCCCATAAATGGAGTAAAAGAGTCTCGTTCGTGTCAATCATGCTCTGCAAGAACAGAGGCAAATGTTAATCCCCTGTACACCACATGAGCCAGAGTTTTCTCTGGGCTCCTATTCAGACTGCAGTAGTCTGAACCCAGCTCCCCAGCAGTGAAGATCATGCCCCACTCCTGCCATCAGACTCACAGGTGGGAGAGAGATGTCAAGTGGTTGAACGCTCCTTCTGGGATAGTTGAGAGGTCATTGCCGTGGAGAGTACTGGGAAAAACAAATCAAGAATTCAATGAGTGACAACGTCAGGTCTTAAAGGGGATACATTTTGACCTCAAAGGTTTTTTGAGCTATTGTTTCTGGGGACAGTCTCCAGAAATCTTAAGCGCCAGCACACAGTTGGTTCAGCTGGTTAATCCACTGTTCTTCAGCTCTTTAGCAACTATCACAGCTCTGCTTCCCAGGCCTCTGTGTCTAACAGGCATTTTCCCTAACCTGCCTTCCCCTCACTCTGTCAGCTCTGCTCCTGTGTGCTGGCTGGCAGCGCTGTCTTTACAGGACACTGGGTCCCATTGTGTGACCCCTGGATCGACAGTGCAAGACAGAGGCTGATGGGTAGAAACTCCGCTGGTCAAGCACTGTCGCACATGCCATGGGGTTTGTGGGCCCAGCACGAGTGACAGAGATACCTGACCACCTGCAGCTTAGGAGTTGCTTGCCCCAACAAAAAAAAAACTACTGATCTCGTGCATCGAAGCTGAACAGGTACACATTAGCAGCTACTGCTTTAAAAGCTTTTCAGAAGCAGGCAGCTAAAGTTTTTTTCCCTGCTCAAGAGTGAACTGAATCAGATTTGGGAGTCCTCAGAAAAAGGGCTATGTTAACATAGTATTTTCTACCATGATATAGTTACAAAAGGTTTAAATGGAAAAAATAACCACCTGTTCTCTAGGTAAGCAGTAAAGTAACATAACCATGATGTGTGCTAAATGTATATTTATATCTGACATTTAGTACAAGAGAGTTATATTTTGGATGTCTGAGTAATAAAATACTAAAATCAATATAAATCACACAAATGCATGATTTGGTGGTTTAGACTTTTTAAATTAGCCTTAAGGAAGATGAGTGCTCAAATTTTTGTTTCCCTAGGAAATCATGAGGATGCACATTTAACATTTAACTCTAATCTTGGTCCCCTAGTGATGGAGAACCGTTTTTTTCAAATTACAAGGTGACTTAAAAACTGCTCGTTATAAAACTGCAAATAAGGAGGGTGTTGGTGTGAAGTCGCTGTCGAAAGAGTATTGGTGACACTTACAGCAGACGTAGAGATCGGAGCCCATCAAATGCATGGACTGGAATACAGCGGATCTGGTTGTAGCTCAGAATGCTTCAAAGTAATGAAAAGTAAAATAAAAAATGAATATGTTAGATTAGAAATTTTAAAAAATCCATTCTGCTGCAAACAAGGAACAGAAACACAGAAGAAGAGTGATTAAGTCCCCCACCCACAGTTGAAATGCCGTTGCCACGGTTACTTACAGAGTGGCCAGCTGAGACATGTTGCTGAAGGTCATCGGGGCCAGAGAGCTGATGCTGTTGTTGCTGAGGTCACTGTGTAAGGAGACACACAAGCACCGATTACAAACAAGAGCCAGAGAGAGCTTCGTCCTTCTCTAGCAACGACGGGAACACCGATTCACAAAAACAGGCCACAACAGAGAAGGGTCTGCGATGGAAACGCTGAGCTTTCACTAACGAACTGAACGAGTCTGCCTTCGGTCCCCTCTGGTGTCGGACCTACAGTATGTGGGGCAGTGAAACTTCTCAAATATTGTCAATGGCCAGGGAATAAGAGGTGCCATACACCACGTCCCAGCGAGCGAAGACAGACGTGGACAGAAATACGTGACGTGTCTAAGGCTGGACCCATGGGCAGCGAGCAGGGCAGGCCAAGAGCTAACCATAGGGAAGGCAGCACTCCGCCCTCCTCACAGGCTGATCGTGCTCTGGGTCTGTTGAAACTCTAGTCCTGGAGGGTCACGGTCCACAAGGTTATATACTGCCAGTAACACAGAACCCTTGGAATGAGGAAAAAGTGGTTCTACAGAACAACTGATTAAAACGAGGCCGTCATCCATTTTGATATGTACAATTTTAAGTTTACAAGTGTTTTTTTTTTGTATTTATGGGGTTGTTAAAGACCTACAGTAGATATTAACGTTCCATGGAACAACATACGTGGGGCCTGGGGTGCATACCCAACGAGTTTTCATTCAGATCATCTTTTCATTTGATCATACATGACTCGCTGTCCTTTAGGTAATCACAATACGTCACCCCAGAGTGTGTATGGTTGTGGTGATGTACGCTGCCGTGTTTTAAAAGTTGAAGAGTATAATCACGTGCAAAGTCTGGATGAATTTCCTACAAATACAAAAGCCCTAACAGCGCATCATTCTTCAAGAGAACTGGACACATGAGGACATGCAGCACAAGTTGCACATAAGCGTGGAAGCGCTGTGATGGACTCTTACATGAGAGAGAGGTGTTTGAGGCTGGCCAGCTCCTTAGGCACAGTTGTCAGAAGGTTTCCCTCAAGGTATCTGGGAAGGAGAGTTCAGAAATCATTAGGTACTCACACTCTGTCTCCTCCTCTCCATTTCAGTGTGCAGAATTCAGGGCTAGATCTCTATATTTCACTCTCAGTACTGCACGGGAAGAAATCCCAAGTTTGTACATTTTTAATGAGGATCCAAGGGCCTGAAAGCCTGTATGTTGAAGACACAGTTAAAGTACTTCCGGTGTTCACAGCTCCTTACCCTCAGAACAAGGGATCTGTCCTTCTGATGTGATAATATTTCACTAACACTGCCATGTCGACCCTGCACAGCTTGTGAATTGCAGGAATTTTATTCCCTACAAGGTAAAAGCAGGAACAGGTACAGGAAGCTGAGGGGGCACCGCGCGCCAACCCTCTGTGTGCCCTGCGGATAACAGGCTCTGTCAGACAACATGAGCCACACTTTAATAATGCTTTGTTGTCAGAGTGTCCAGATGAATTTCCAGTGCAAAGACACCACTGAACTCTCTCGTGAGGAGTTCTCCATTAGGGTGATTTATAGGTCCCTTGTTTAGTGTAGCGCTACCATTTCTCATCCTTCTTTTTTCACAGTTTTGCATGGCGGCTGCCTTTTCTGTTTCTACCCCCATTGCTAGGGTGCAATGCACAGTAAAAGCTATGCAAATTCACAGACTGATTCCTCTAAAACAGATGCTGGACAACAGCTGTATTAGATGCCTAGTTCTATTTTTCTGTGCATCAATATCATTAAAAAGGACTATCTGAGTGACAGAGCACCCAAGCTTGACTACAAGTCCTCAGTTTCTTGCCCATTTTGATTTAAAAAAAATACTCCCTCCTAATGATGACATTAAAAGCCTTCCGTAACTGTGCCTGACTGAGGAGCCGATGCCCAGTGGCACCACACAAAGACAGACAGGGCCACTCACAGCTCAGTGGTGTCCTTGGGGATGCCCTTGGGCAGAGAGCGCAGACCCCGATTACTGCAGCGCACCACCGTGTCTGAGCACGTGCAGGACTCGGGGCAACGTGGCAGGGGCTGGCAGCTACTCTCCTCGGAGCCTGCAGGGGGCGACAGAGAGCAAGGCGCAATTCAGGAACAGGGATCCAGGTCTACAGGGTCACATGAACGACGGCACACTCTTTGAAATCGCTCCTTTTTCTGCCAGCACTGTGGCATCTATGGCGTAAAAACTCAGCATCGGCGTCAGGCTGTACATGATACCCAAGGCCGAACAATCAGATCCTGATGTGTCTGGGGCTCCTCCATGTTGCGCATGGGACTGTGCTGCATTCATTCTTTTTTCTAATTATGACAAAATAATTCAATTTAAAACAGAAGTATAAAATACCTCTCACTGACAGAAAGGGAATTTCATACATAAATCATAATATTCTCAAGAGTTAAAGATGTTCACAGACGTGACAGAAATGAAAACAGAACAGTGAATACCTAAAATGGCATTGGTGTGTGCAACCTTCTCATTGTGTTATGACACGGCTTTGCAGAAACTCAACAGTAGGTAGATGTCTATGAAATACTTTTGAAGAGGAGCTCTGGCTTGAAAAACCCTTGTATATGTTGAGCACAGAACTGAAATGAATACAACCGTACTTAAGAAACAAAGGGAAAGTATTCTGTTGGCCACTTTTCCCCACCCATGGTCAATTGGGAAATGTAGTTCATGGCGCCCCAGATGGACATCATGAACTATGCAGCCCCAGTAACCTGTCACACCTCCGGATGATAATAGACTTATTACTAATCTTGCACCTTACTTCACAAAGAGAACAGGGAGTACCATACTGGCTCTAGAGGAGACACAAACTAAGACATTAAAGCAACGTGGGGTGCTGTTCATTGGCTATCGATCTGCAGTTTCTCTATACTGACTGCATTCTTCTTATTTTCTGAGAACTCTGAAATTGTAACAAAATAAAATACGGAAAACACCAATTAAAGGCCAATGTGAAAAATGTTGGTTTTGGCTGGAAAGCTTGCTGTTTTCACACAAAGCTCCTTCATAACGACTGTTTTACTCCAAAAGCCCAGAGAGATATTATCTGTACAGACCAGAGATGAAAGTAAACTAAGACATTAATGGGAGATAAAGAAGTCTCCTGCTCAACCCAAAAATAACATGTAGGCTGTCTGGACCTACAGACCCCCACAAAACACAGACCAGTGGTTTTACTTGACTGATAGCCAATCTCACATTTCATAACTGATGGGAGCACCATGAACTCCAGAATAGTCGCATTTTAATTTAAATCACATTTTTATGTGGAGAAATCTTTCCTTTATTATTGCAATCATTACAAATTAATTATGTTCTTGTTTTTGCTATATTTTGGCTCTTTGGAGTGGAAAGAGTATGATAGCCTACTCCCTGATAACAGAAGCCAACAACCAATGTTCAAGTTTTACAAAAACAACAAATGTCCGATTTACAAATTTGCAAATGAAGTATTTCTGAACGCCTTTTGCCTTTTCTCCTCCAGATGGGAAACAAGCGATAGTTTCTATGCCTCTGAAGAAAATGTAAAAAAAGAAAACACACACAGCTCATTCCCAGAAACTGCATTTAAGTAAAAAGAATTTGATTTCTTTCTTACTGATTTTAACTCTTTCTAGATCTGTGCACTTAAAGATGTAATGATTCCAAAAATGAGGAGCACATTTTGGCTTTTTGAGCAAGATACTCTGAAAATCTGCATGTTTATGTCTTTTTCTTTTGCTTTTGTCATGGTCCTCTAAAACACAGGAATTAATTCTTGTGTGACTTTTGTTGCCCAGTCAGTTTTGTGTTTACAACAATAGATTCCAAAATGATTTCTTCCCAAAATGTCTGCAAACAAGCGTGTTCCTTGAATCTCCTCCAGAGTTCACTTGAATACGCAGCGAAAGAGACTGAGCTAGAGGAAGCCAAACCGCATTTCCTTCTTCTAGTAAAAATTTATGGAGCAGTTGTGTCTCTCCTGCGTTTCTCGGCTGGAAAGGGGGTGGGAATGTGTGGTTTCTCCTTAAAATTGAGGGAAATGTGAGACAATGTGCTTACAAAGCGGCTCACATACGGTATACCCTGACATCTGGACCAAACACTTCTGAAAGGTGCAGTAAGGTATAGGAAACATGACAGAAGATTGGATGATTGGGGACACACAACTTCCTAGGACATAAACTGTGGTTTGAAATGACAAATACAAACAGATGTGGCAATCTGAAATGAAACAGGACAGAAAAGGAATTAAGTACTGCTGTACTACTCAGAAATATTTCCTCCTTCTCCACAGGCAGTATTGTTCATTCAGTCCTCTACAGAAACCAGAATATCCTACAACCCTAAATCCACCGCACTTTAACCTTTATCTAACCAGCCTGACAGTGTGTTGAAATGACTGCAGGCTTGACAATGATTTCTTTGCTTGCTGCTTTAGCCTGTCCTTAATAACTGTAAAGGAAGTCATGCAAATTTGTCATTGTCAGCTCCACTGCAGAGTTTGAGAGGCACTAAGGACAGACTGTTTGCTCTGCGGCGTGTAAGACTGGTTTACCATGCCTTCACTTGCTCTGGTGGGCTCACATGAACACATGTATGAACTCTAACCTTTAACCCCAGTTTGAACCTTCACTCCAGCTTCTGAAAGGCTCATTATATGGAGGAAAGTTATTTCTCCTACGACCAGTCTAAGCAGAATAGCTCATGGGTTCTCATGGATTTTCAGTGTGTCCGGTTATTTATTCTGCAGTTTGTAAGGGTCAAAGTTAGTTCGGAAAGTAAAGCAGAAAGTAAAGCCCCAAGGACACAACTGCAGATTTTGCTGGATGATTCCGTTCTCCCATTTAGAAGCAAATCTGAGAAATGTCTGTTCTCATGCTTCTCATGCAATTGTTGTTACCTCTGCTAAGAAATGCACAGCTTTCGATATCGCCTTGGCTGAACGTTCACTTACGAGAAACACACAGTCCCTTCCACTTCTGAGTGGGAGTGTGTCATGCCTACCCCATTTTCCCAAAGCAACCTGTACTAGATCAGAGGAAACACACAACGCGTTCGTGCTACTGGTGTTCATGGTCTCCTGGGGCCAGGCAGGGCGCTGTACTGTACCGTCGCAGGTGAAGTCAGGCAGGGCCACGTCCTGGATAGGGATCTCCTTGAGGAAGGCTGGCTTCTGGCAGCGTGGGTTCCCACTCACCACCCTGGTCTTCTTCAGCCACAGTCCCAGCCAGGCCAGGTGGCAGTCACACACATAGGGGTTGGACAGCAGGTTACTGAGGGAAAGAGACAAGTGCAACAAATCGACTGAATCTGACTTGAGCTCGGAAGTGATCCAGAAAAAAGGGATCCACCCAACTGTGCCGCAAAAGCCACAATTCAGCATCTCTTTGGATCTTTTTACAGCAGCCTCATCTCGTCCGGACTCCAAAGCCACGCAACAATTTCCCAGGCTTGCATTTATAGATTTGTAACTTTTTATGTATGTTGACATTTAACAATGAAGCTTTGCTTTGAAACTAGCACTGGCTATTTCTGAAATCTAGTTATTAATCAAATTTCATTTAAAATAGGAAGACAGTTTTAGGACCACTAACAGGGGACTTATTAAGGCCTAGGTGGCAGGGTGTCTGTTCCATTATTTACGCGTTGACTAACTTACAAACTTGCTTAACTGCAGACTTGAACTGCTCGGAAAATGAGTCAGACAGCCCGCTATCAGCCAGCTAACTAAGCAAGACAAAATCCAAGGAATGAGAAGGTACTGAAACACAGAAGAAGTGTGTAGGAGGGGGAAATAAAGTTGCAAGGGACTTTTTATGCTTAGGAATTGATCATGGCTGCTGCTACACACCAAACTGAGTGGTCTGTTGAACCACTGTGTCAGACTTAAAGCGCTAGAACCACAGCCTGGAACTTCAGAGGGGATGTTCAATTATTTCCTCGTTAAATTAAATTATTTCCACCGCTCGTTAAATGATTTCCACTGCTTTTACTTTTAATTGCACTTCCCTTAGTATGCTCTGGAGTCAGACAGTCCACCATCACTTAGAAAATCTGCACTAGCCAAAACATCACGTCCCATCGAAGCAACCAAAAAGCAGCAACCAGTAGCAATTCAGTGTCAGTCGTTACAGAAAGCCCTGAAAGCCGGACTTAATTCCCACTGCTAAAACAAACAGAAATGAATACATACAGTACTCATATTAAATTAAAAGAAATAAAATTGCTGCTATAATCAAATATTCTCCCCCACAAAGTAATCCCGTTTTTTCCCGACTGTTCCCTTGCCCAGCAGATTTCCGGACAGCGGAAACACTTGCCGGCTCTAATTTAAGACAAGAAACCCATTTTTTCTGCCCGAGTCTGGGCTGCTTGTGATCCCAGTGGACTCAGAAACACAGCTGCTCCCTTAATCCCCACGTTACTGTGCATCTCTGCAGCCCGCCTGGTATTTTTAGCCATACAGCACTGGCATGAACCCTAACAGTGTCAGCCACAGGGTAATTAAAGAGCTGCCAGGCTTTTGGGCAACATCTTCCAGGCAGAGGGGGAAGAGAAATGGAAAGGGCTTCGCTCCCTAGTGTGATGTGGTCCCTTATATTAAACACAGCTTCCTCAACACCAACCCCCGCCACCCAACCCCTTCTCCTCCTCACCCCCAGCCACTAACCACAGCTTTGCTGAGCACAATGGGACGCTCTGTGTGTTTTGGACCAGAGGACAGGATGTGCCTGGGACTGGGTGTTGTGTTGGCAGGGACTTCCAAACATCTTGAACTGGAGCCTCAATCCACTGCTCCATTTCGGGCTCCTCAGGTTTAGCTTCTAATTCTTCACTTAGTGAAGGGTGAGGACACTTCAGGGGCGTAGGGGGATCTACTTAAAGGCTACAGGGCTCCTCCTCTGAAAGTGCTGTTGGAAGCTGTGTGCTTCTTGGCATAGGCTGATGGAGAGCCTGAAAACAACTACTTCAAGACCAGCAAAGGAACAAGCAGCTGAAGGCAGTTTAATTGGAATAGATTTTTTAAGACAGAAAATAGGCACTTCCTCACATAAAGAGCTCTGAAGTATTGGGGACAAACTGCACACACAAGCTGTGGTCAGCGATTCAGTGGAATACTGATGAGTTCATTCAATTAAAAACCTACAGAGAAAAACAAACGAGAGGCCAGGGTCCTGCTTCATTTTCCAGCGTTCCTGTGCTCCCGGGGCCTGTAATTGCTATCATGTTGGCTTTACAATAAAACAGATCCCGCTCTGTCACATTACCATGTATTAGACCATTGCTCATGACTCCAGACTCTGAGTCTGGCTCTTTGCAGACGGAACATGCAAAGAAAATGGAACAGCCATCAGTCCAGTGAGTGGAGAGTACAAAGAACACCATGAAAGATCTCTTACTGTGGCATATCATTGCAAATGCACAGCAAAATGCAGCACTGAAACATCCTAAAGCAAAGAGCTATACAGGAGGGTGTACTGACTAGCTGTGGGGAACTGATAGAAGTGATGGAACAGTTTGCATTAAGAAAAGGCTATTCAGTGTTCTAACCAATTGCTTTGAAAGAGACATAATAAGCAGTCGAACTGGACTGCAGAGGGGGGTTCTTACATCGTGGAGAGGGAGTGGAGCGTGCTGAAGGCCCCGGGTGCAATGGTCGAGATGCGGTTGTCGTAGAGAGACAGCAGGCGCACTGAGCTGAGCCCTGCGAAGGTGGTGTTGTCCACACAGCTGATCTGGTTGCTCCTCAGCATCCTGCAGTAACACAAGTGCACACACCAGGCCATCAGGGGAGAGAGACAGGAAATGCACACTGGAGGCACAGGATGTAATATGTCATCTTATGCCACTGTGCTGGACTGGCTGGCTTCTCTAGTGTTGATTCAGGGATTTTTACATTAAGATTTTGCCCAGTCTGTCCTTCAGAAATTTGTTAAATGCAAAGTACTTCTCATTTGAGAGCCTCTACTTTCAAAGTTGACTCGGCCCCGCTCGATGCAGACAAGCCTGTGATTCACCAAAGCCGGTCTTGACGAATGCCAAGCAATAAGAGCCTGAGAGATGTTTCATGTGGTATCACCATGGTCTAGTGTAGCATACCAAGACTAAAGAAAGTAAAACATGCAGGCGTGTCATGCAACTCTGACACTGATGTCTCAGCTTCCACGTTTGGTTTCAGATCTTGTACATTCTGTTTCATTTTTAAATTCTGGAACTCAGTATTCAATGGAGGACATATGATAGTGGGTTAAAGACATGAAGACCCCCCCCCAACATTACTCCAATTTCTCAGTTATAAGTACCCTCTGGATACCGATCCTTGCTGTGTGGGATAAGAAATCTGTTAATATGTTAATAGTGAAGAAGAAGAAGACCAAGGAAAGTTTATTTTGCAGTTTATTTTAATCTCTTTATTACTTGTTATTATTATTTATTTATTACTTTAAATACCCAGGACAACCAAAAAGAGTATGAAGATGTGCATGGCCATCAATCATCAGTGTTGGGTTTGGTCTAGTCAAACACATTTGCTCATTTGGTGCGGTCCTGCACTCTGATGAGGCCTGCCCCCCAAGTGGTACAATAGGGCAACTAAACTGCACTAAGACTGCCATGGCCAGAAACTTGTTATCAGATACTCACTGCGTAAAATGAATAAATTCAAACCAGAGCCTTTGGTAATGAACATGGAAATCAGTAAATTCTGCATTACTAACTCTGACAGCAGAGATCTGAGAGGCAGCAATTCGATTCAGGAACTATCTCCGATTTGATAGCCACTAAATTTGATAATTGGAGATATGTGCATAGTGCACGACTTCATTTATTTACTAGGATGCCTTTGCTTATCTCAAGATTCACTGATTGAAGAAAATCAAAGCATCCGATAAGCGTCCCTGGCTTTTTGAAGTCAGAGGCTAAATTAAAATGGATTTCACAGACTAAATGTGCATTATTTATTTTGCTTTCATCCCTTTGTTCAATGGGATATATTAGAGCCTACAGATCTGCCAGAATGCCGTAGTATAAAGAGTTCACATGTTCACAACAGGCCAGAACTGGACAGCACTTCCCCGGAAGCTGGCCCGAGTTTCCCTCGTGAGGAAACGTGGTTCAGGCGGCACGTTTCAGCAGGAAGTGGGAAGGCATCACGGGAGAACGGACGGTCTTGGGCCAGGCCCAGAAACCCGAGCAGGGGAGGGCAGGGGTGTGGGGAAGGGCGGCTCACTCACAGGGTCTTCAGGCCGGTCAGTCCCCTCAGCATGCGGCCGTGCAGGCTCTGCAGCTGGTTCCCGGTGAGAAGCAGCTCCAGCACCCCGTCTGCCCCGTCGAAGGCGCCCTCCCGGACCTCCCGCAGCTTGTTGTTGCTCAGGTTACTGTGGGCAGAGACACGGGGGGGTCACCGCCTCTCACCGCCGCGCGCTGGGCTCGGCCTGCGAGCCGCTCGGCCTTCCTCGACACCCGCCCCCAGGCAGAACTGACACAACACGGCAGGCAGAGGGGCTCGGCGCTAATGGCAGTGATTAGTGCAAACTGGGGTAATTAGAAAACAGTCATGTGCTTTAAGTGGCTATTCAATGAGTCATCTTAGTCCTTTCACGTTCGTTTCCTGAATTGAGCTTCTCCAGAGTGTGTTAATCCACAGCGAGGAATTCCTGAAACCTCACCCTCTGAGAAACAAGCCACACCAGAGAGGAGGAGACAGTTGGTGTTCTGCTCTCATACCAACAAGTGTCACACCTGACTGCCGACTCAAGACAGGAGCAGCATTGATAAATCTTCCAAAACTGCCAAGTATCACGCAACGTATTGTAACACAATCTAATAACATAGGAGGTGAATAAAAGGAAGCCTGGTTATAGCACCTGTCCATCTTTAAAAGAAAGAAATGGTTTGTCACTAGTGGGTATTTGACTAGGTGATCACTTCATTGTTCCTTCTTCCTCTCCTGCCTTCAGACTCGGAACAAAGTCAGCTGATCTAATTTGCCTTTAACGTTTTTAGGGTATTTTTCACATCTCGTCTGTATGAGAGAGGCTCACCAAGCAGAGGCGCAGGTCAGTAGACTTGAATATGCTGACACTATAAACAATATACTTTTCTCTATACACTACTGTATATAAACTCTTCTCTAGGAAGGAGACTCTGAAACTCTTCTGGCAGAAATAGATGGGTCTGACCCTTCACATGGACGATTTTCAAAAGATATGTAGCACAATGACCCTGTGATGTATAGCCGACCAGGCAGTAATCTGTTGCACTATAAAGCGCTAGGGGAAGTTTAGATATTGCCGATTTATTGCTTTCTGACAGAGCTGGATGGTAAGCAATTTCATGCTTGATAAATCATTACACTTGTTTCGTCCCGGCTTACGTTTTCATCTTCGTAGCGGACTTCAAACACTGAATGACGGTAAATCATGCCACATGGTCTGGAACATGTGGGCAGAGAGCACTGCTCCTCTTCCTGTGGTCATGGGCACTCCAGGCTGCACCACTTACTGCTTAGGAAGCTGTTCACCTTCTCCACCACTTTGGGCCAATTATTACAAAAACACCAGCATTTAACAGATACAAAAAGCAAGAAAAACAGACATACATCTTGCGCAGGTTCGGAAGCTTCTTAAAGATCCCTGTGGGCTCCAGGACGGAGATTTCATTGTCATTAAGGCGCCTGATGGGAAGATAAAAACATCAGCAACACGGTGAGCGGACTGAAAACAAGAGCATCTCACAGTCAGTCAGCACGTTGGAAGCTCTGCTGTGAAGCTCTGGAGCCACACCTGGATTGGGTTACATGCTGCTGTGGATTGCAGTGAAAACAGAGTGTCAGTCCGACAGAACACCTTTGTTTACCCTACATTGTTCCTACATATGTGAAAGTTCACATCGATTGCTCTGAGAACTCATCTTTCGTGGATCTAATCATCGCACAGTTATCCAAAATGCAATGGAAGACTAGTAGGCTCTGGGTGACACAGGCTGATTTCTTTAAATACAAATGGAGATGTTTTTTTTCCCCCCATTTAAAGTCACAAACCAAAAGGCCAGAATTTGATTCAGGTGCACAGTGCCTGGAATTCACTTCAGCATGAAAGGGAGTTTATGCTGGCCTGTGCTCAGAGTGAAATAAAAAGCAAAGCCTGTGATTCCTTACAACTCTGTGTGCCGCCGGCTGTTGCTGCAACCTCAGTAGTCTCAGAACCTCTGTGGATCAGTGAACGCGGGGGCTCGTAAGAAATATTGAGCGGAAGAAGTGAACATGACTTTTAAAAATCCCAATCCCGCCGAGGCAGCGGATAAGGCGCAGTTGAAACTCTCTTTGTGTGACCTTTTCCCCGTTTCCCTGTCCCGGCACCGCCAACAGCCCAGCTTCAGAACCCAGCGCCGGAACAAACAGACAGCACCAGAGTGGTTCTGGGTAAAAGTGGTGCAGCGCGGCTGCCGGCGCCACGCCCAGACGTTTGTGTCCGGTCAGCTGGCGCCGCCTGTCCGACGCGCGCAGCGGGGCAGGGGGGAGGCGGGGGGGGGCAGGCTCTTACAGGTCAGTGGTGTGCTCAGGCAGGTGTGGTGGGAAGCGTCCGAGCTTGAGGTTCGAGCAGTCGACCAGGGTTCCCTCGCAGCGGCAGCGCTCCGGGCACACGAGGTCCTGGAAGCACTCCCCACTCAGCCGGGCGCGGTAGTCCTCAGTGCCTGCGCGGAGAGGAGCTGGGCATCAGGACAGACCCCCCACCACCAGGGGGCGCTCCTCCACTATTGACAACACACTGACTGTCTCACGCACACGTTCACATGCTGGTACTCGTATGAAAACCACAGATTCTCCTCGTGTTTCAGGGGTACGGCAAGGACCTGCAAGGAACCTACTGTACAGGCTTGTTGAGCACGGGAACGATCATCTATTTCCCCCCCCCCCTAAAAAGTCACACATACGAAAGAACTGAAAGCACTGACGTCAGGTCCAAGCAATGAAATCAGGAGCTGGTTTTTAACCAGCCCATTATCTCAGTGCGTACATGTTGGAAACAATTCAGACTGAGTTGGATTTAGAGTCCCTCGGTCCCCAGCCGACACACACACGCTCCTCGGTCCTACAGATCGGGGAAATGGAGAGACAGTAAACACATGGAAGGAAAACAAGAGGCAAACGTCAAAACTACAAATGATACTATAACTCAAACTACAAAGATTTAATACAGATCCACTAACGCTGTGAACAAATATTGCCTCTGACGCCACATCTGACGCAGTTCAATCCAAAGAGTGGGGCTCAACCCATGAGAGAACCGCCCATGATAAACTCAAACCCAGAGGCCTAAACACCAAACCCCTTCAACACGGAGCACCACTGCTCTGAACGGGACACTGACTCCTTCAGACGCAGGGAGGAGGAGTGGACAGGGCTGCAGACTGGCACCTGGAAGGTTACGGGCTTAAATTTACTCAGGTGAATCCCCAAAGAATATGTCCAGTTCTACCAATGTTAAGCCACCCGGGATAAAAACACCAACCAAACAAGCTGCTGGTGATACCTGCTTCTGTTAGAATTGTTTTCACAACCCCAAGACCTTTTGCACAAAAAAAAAGACTATCCAATGAAAAAAACAGCTTGACACAGCAGCCTGTTTCTTTGCCATTTTCCTATTTTCCTACTGTTTCAAGTCTCCCTGTTGCAGTTGCACGAAGAAAAGCTGGAGAGTCCCAGGAGAGGTCACGCTCTGTAGGCAATCCGTGGGACAGGACCGCCGGACGCGATCACACCTGCGGCGTGTGTGCGTGTGTCTGCGTGTGTGTGATGTGAGCGGTCACCTTTCTCCTTCCACTGGCAGTGAGGACCCCCAGAAGCTATCCCAGAATGCCATGCTGCGTGCGAGTGCCCAGCGGTCCCTGGTGCTTGACGGAACCATGTGGAGCGAGAGCAGGCGGCAGCACATGGTTAGATCAAGCACAAGAGACAGCTGCACGAGAGGCAGAGTGAGGCAGAGCGAGGGCGAGAGGAGCAGCCAAAACAGAGCAGCCAGGAAGCCGGGCGCAGGCCAGGCTGAGAGGGAGGGTGGCGCCAGTCAACTCCCCCCCATGCACAGATGAGGGTCTCCACCCCGCACGCAGACGCCCCCAACATAGACGCGTCCCCAAATCATAAAGCGCCCTGGACAGCTGTCCGGAAGACAAGGGCCTTCGCGAGAAAAACAACGTTTGCCGTCAATATGTCCAAAAAAAAAATCACACACAGTGCATGAGTGCCCGGCGTCTGTCCACCATTTTGCTGCTTTGTTTAGTATTTTAAGATATTAAAGTCAGTCCTGGATGCAATGAGGTAACACCTGGTGCCGTATCAAAGACGTTGTGCTAGCAGTCACGTGTTTTTTTTTTTAATCCAGCAGATGAATTCTGCTCTTGAACTACAGTCCCTGGCAGAACCCTGCAGCAGGTAATGTGAGCAGCAGTTTTATTTAAATCATCACGTCTCGCTTCCCCTCTTCAGTGAGATGAATAGTTTTGCAATGTCCTGCCTGCATTCCTGAGGCATTAACTGCTCTCTCTGAATTCAAGACCACTCTCCACTGAGTTCCAATTGCTTTTCCACCAGCTGAATTCCTAGTGTTCGACTCCTCCGCACCACAGTAGTGCATGTCGTCATGCAAGGATGTGGTTTAACCAAAGAGACTTAGAGTTTTACCTTGGAGCGTTAGGGCTCAATATCTGTCAATTCTGAATAACCCCTAACAGAGTTTCTACAGGATGATATGCCAGAAAATCCCACAGTATACGCTCCGACATCCCATATTAGTACGAACACCTTCAGAATAACAAAATGTGAAATGACCATGAAAGTCCTATGTTATCCGTGTTAGCTCTGTGACCAACTGCAATCCTGCATGACTTCTAAGGTGGTGTGTGTCTGCTCCCTTTTGTGCTTGGACACAGCTGCGTATTCTTTAGTTATTTCTAGGTCAACGGTGCTCATTTTAATTCACGATACTTTGGAGGTTTGAATTCTGCGGCTTTCCGTTTCCTCATTGTGACATGCAACGATCTCCCTCCATACCTTGTATACACAGGCACCTATGTGTGCACCTTCACCTGTACTTTAGCTTGTTAGCGCGTCTTGTCTAATTGAGGGCTTTTGCACCTGGGTGCCCCTTCACTGACAGGGACACTAGGCATTCTGTGGACTCTCACTAGCCTAGGCCTTGAGTACAGTTTCTGACCCAGACCTGCCCTTCAAAACTGCGACCTTTAGCATGTTATGACACACAGAGGCAGACCCGACGTCATAGGACAAGGAAACTGGCTCACGCACATGAATGAATGAATTAAATGGAAACTAGATGGAACGGCATTTAAATTCAAGAGTGGGAGGTGTTTTTTTTTTTTTACACATATAGTTGGGAGAGTTTGGAACAAGCTGCGCAGCCACACCGTCGAAGCCGATACCGGACGGGCTTCCCGTCTGTCGGCTGTCTTCCGTCCCTCCAGGTTTGGGCCGGCGTTTGACCAGCCCCGGGAGGGGCGGGGGGGCTGGGGAGGGGCGCGGCGGGGGCACGACAGGTACCTGAGCAGCGGAACTTCTTGCCCTTGACTTGGCTGATGCGCTTGTTGGCCAGGCGGCGGGGGTGGCTGCAGCGCGCCCCGCTGGTCTCGATGGGGTTGTCGAAGAGGTAGTCGGCCAGCCACTTGAGGTGACAGTCGCACACGAAGGGGTTCTGGGCCAGGTGTCTGGGAGGAGAGGCAGACCGCGTCAGGTTTACCGCCAGACCTGTCTGCCTGGCTTTCACAGACCGAGCCGCCGGGCACGCGGGGGGACAGGCGGAGAAACACGGAGGCTGCAGGAAACTAAACTCTTCTCAGATTTCTTTATTCCCTTGAAGAAAGCAGGGATACAGACTAAAAGGAACAGTGAAGGTGTAGATTTCAAGCAGGCAGACCTGTTGTGTGATTCTGGAAGGGGCCAGTTTAGCTGTTTAGCTGTCTTTATGATATGGGACAGCTGTACAGTAGAGTATGCATTCTGTGACGGGTGTTTAAGATGTTCCTATACCTCTATGAATTTATGCCCTTTAACATTCTGCGGTTAAACAGAGGTTTTTCTTGTCTTTTGACATTTATAGGAGCACAAGACATGGGAGCACAGACTCGGATTATAAAAGACCCTGGAAAATGATTGGATTTGGTTTTGCTGTGCTCTCTTGGAGGGGCCCGTAAATTAAATACACCCATGTCAAAACGTCTCTGAGCTGCACTGTGACTCCTCACGTGCCTTGCAAGGAGATGATAGTCCTTTATTTTATTATATAGGGCGGTTAACCGAGAACAAATTCTCAGTTACAATGCTGACTTGCCCACCCATTTATACAGTAGAATATTTAGTGGAGAGATCTGAGCAGTTGAGCAAAGCACTTTATTCAAGGATACAAAGGCAGAATCACACCCAGGACTTGGGCCCATGACCCTACAACACCAGACCTACTACTCCAAACCGCTCCCTTGTGATGGTACATTAACCCATCACAGAATTAAACAGTAAGGAGGCTTTACCTTAATGAAAGAAGGAGGACACAGAACATAAAAAAACATCAAACAAGCAGTTATTTCCATCACCATGCTTACGTTTACTGAGATGTCACTCTCTGGTCCATTAATTTGACCATTTCAGTGTTTCTAAGCTACAGGCTGCCATAAAAGCTTTTATTATAGCATACAGAATAGGTTCTGAAAAGGTTCTTGGTTGTTCACTTAGGCTGAGCGAATCTGCGCAGTTAGACATGCAAAACTAAAAATCATCCTGCTTTCTGCTTCCTAGGTAGAGTGTGCACAAACGTGCAATGCATAAATCCAGTTGCCATAGGAGTCTTAAATATACGCCTGCACTGTGACAAAGGCAGTTGTTCTTCTACAGGACTGAAATGTTTTTTTTCCCAACACTTACATCAAAAACGAATTCTTGGCATTGAGAGAGCACTGCAGAAACTCCACTTTCCTGACATACCAAGAACATACCGTAAAACCTAACCAGGATTTTTTCCAGAGGTGTTTGTTGTTTTTTCTGACAAGAATAGAAGCCAACATGACAATGTTCGCTGTATCAGATCAACGAGCTCGCGCCCGAGGCTCCGCCTGACGCAGCTACAAGGGCAGGGCTACTCACAGAGTCTTAATGGAGCGCAGAGGGGAGAAGAGGCCTTTGCTGATGGTCTGGAGCTTGTTGTCGTACAGGGAGAGGAGGTTGAGGTTCTGCAGGTCTTGGAAGGTGTTCACTCTCAGGCAGTTGATCTTGTTGGCGTTCAGCAGCCTGCAAAACAGGAGACAGGCTGGGCTTAAGCATGCAGCCATGTGCGCTTCATAGCAAGCAACAAACTACAGTCTGGTTCATTCCTGCTTTCAAAAGCATGAAGCTGGACGTTTTATTTAAACACTCAACAGAGAGCCCACAGGGCCCACAGGGTTTTCATTAAAACTTCACGATGAATTTGATTAATTATGAAGCCAATGCAATCTTTCTCCACCTCTAAAGCAAGCCGGTAACGGAATTATGATTTCTTCTTTGTTAAAAAGAAGTGCAAAAAGAGAAACTTCAGCATGCTTTAGGAAGATGAACAAAATTAAGAAGGAAGGAAATTATTTGTTAAGTTTTTTTGCAATGTGAAATGATTTGGTTTTCTTTTCATTAAACTGACAACTTTCGTGCCGATTCCTCCGCCATACGTACATTCAAAGGTGAAATTACTTTTAAGAAATGTTTCTTCATGTAAATTTAAGACAATTTCAAAAACACTGAACAAAGAAGAGCAGGAGAAAGACAGTATTTGGTCATTCACAAATAAGGGGTAACTATAAACAAAGCTGCTTTATTTACAGTTTTCTCTAGACAATAGTACCACACAAAGCAATAGGTGCTTTATGCTCTGCTTTGCTGGAATAAAAAATACACAAATACAAAGCCCAGATCCTTCAGGTTTAGATTCTGGAAAGCAGGTGGCAACAAACTTGGAAAATACAGAAGGTCCAGCATCTGGTTGTGAGCTACAGCCACATTTGTGCCTTGTAGCTGAATATTTCTGCCATGTTCAAATTCATATTAGCACTTCAATCACTCCCCATTGGAATATTAATGTACTGTACCTCAAACACTGCCAGTCTGCAGTGTGCTGTAGTCTACCCTAAATTAGTGGAAGACTTTGTAGTGAGGATCTGTCACACTACATACACATTCCGTGTCGCTAGACTTTATCACAGCAAAAGTTAATTATGTGGAGACATGGAAGGCAGCAACTGTTTGACTTTTGAGATAAGAGAACAAGCCACTACCGCTGACTGGAAACGATCTGCGATTTCTCTATTAAAATCCACACATTTTTTGGATTTGCCCACAAAGAAAAGGAATTCCAGATTTTCAAGTGCTCTTAATTTAAGCAAAGATTTCCTGCTTTTTATTGGGTGCTCCTAGTTCTCCATTGAAAATAACCTTGCCATTCAGAAAATATATTTTTAAAGTTCACGCAACACAAACTGATTTTTTAGGTAAATAATAATGTAGGAGCACTGTGCCTATCTTGATGGGACAGATATTCACTCCAGTCAGGTATTAATTGACTCAGCTATAAAATGCATGTACAGTATACTGAAATGTCTGAACCCCAATGCAACAATTTAAAAGTGAGATCAAGCTGTAATCAGCAAGAAAATTGTGTAGCTGGCTAGAGGTGACAGTTTCACTGTGTAATCTTCAGGGATATTGCAACTGAAGGGTCACTGGACTATGTCAGATTACAGTGTATGAAATGACCCATGCATAACTAGTCATAAATTATTTTAAACACACTGCAAAGAGGACAATTCAAAGAAGATGTTTTAGAGTTGTGAAGACTTCTTTTTCAGGGGAGGGTCAGTGTAGGAGCTAAACGTAACACAACAGCAGTGTTAAAAGAGTTCATGGTTTGCAATACAGACGTACAAAGTTTGTGATCTGCCATTTTACACGAAGGAAAATGCCCACACATTAATATTCTTTATAAGATGTAAATGTGGACAAAAAGATAGTGGTGATGCAAATGCATACTGCAAAGGATTTACTGTTTTCAGCTCAGTGCAATTATCTGAGCTGCAATGTTCTTCTTTACAGCAAAACACAAATGAAGTCACATATTTCTGGATTGTCGACGCTGTTAAACTTTGGTGATTAAAACAAAACAGCACGACCAATGTAGTGCTCAAAGACCCATCGGTGCAGCTTTCATCCCTTGATTTTTTTCTTTTTAGAGAAATATCTTTACACAAATTCTAGCTTCTACTTTCCTTATTTAAAAATGGGTGTTTATGTTTGATATGAATATAGTACACACATAGTACAGAACATATGAATGTGATCTATCTGTGTGTCTGTGATGTGCCTGTGATGTATCTAACCTCTGAGACCCCACAGCAATCTCATGTGTTGTTGGCACAGATGAGGCTTTGTAGCACTTGTTTACGATGACCCACAAGTTGTTTCAGTCTCGCTACAGAAGCCCTATCAAGTGAAGCCGTTGACATTTGAGCGTGTGTTGCTGTCGGCCCAACTGCTGTTGCTGGAAGCTGCTGCAGTTCCTTGATCACTTAAAGCGGATTCCTCCCCAGACTCACCCCACCTCTGCTGGAACCCCAAAAGTGTGAAAGTTTAAATGTCACTCACAGCAGCTGGAGAGAAACCAGTCCGTCGAAGAGGCCCTTGGGGATCTCCGCAATCTTGTTCCCGTACAGCACTCTGCCCAGACACAGACACAAAACAAAACCACAGCTTATTGTCCCAAAGGCGTCTCGGAGAAGGGCTGCCCCTGTTTTGGCCTGTACCTAGGGGGTGCTCTCTCTGGACAGCACTCGAAGCACAGCTCTGGGCTGCTATTTAAAGACAAATAGTCTTCAATAGCTGATGCAGATCCATTCTGCTCTCGCGAGGTGCTGAGGGCCTGTGTGTGTGTCAGCCTGCCCTGTCGGGCGCTCTGCTGGCTTGCTCTGATCGCCTTCCTAGGACTGGCTGGTGCAGGGGTGAACATAAGCCTCCTGGTTTCACCCCTGTACACATTGTTTTTAAAAATAATTTGAATGTATGTAGGAAGCCGGCCGAGCTATCAGCTATTAACACGGGTTATTCATTTGGTGCATTATTCTTTAAAGATAATAGGAGTTTAACACATTGAAGTGAGGGCTGGCACTTCGAAACCGAGTGCATAACCACATAGCTAGTCAAGAAGCTTTCTTTTTGGCGTTGCTAATGCGATACGGCCCGCACGGGAGAGAGTTCTCCTCGCTCACGACAGGCGGGAGTGCAGGCTAGCTGAGCAGAGACACGCCGGGACTCACAGAGAGGTCAGGGAACGAAGGCCGTGGAAGGCGTCCACTGCTATCTCGGAAATCTGATTCTTACTGAGGTCTCTGAAACGACAAAGCGCAAAAAAATGAGCACAACGCAAACCACTTCCAGCCGAGCTGTCGTACACCTCGATAGAAGAACAGCCAGAGTAACCACCCGCATGATCCTCCTTTCCCACCTGTCCCTTCCCTTTCCCACCAGCTCCGTCTCATTATCAGATCGTTCTCTGTGTTCGGAAAGAGAACAGCAGAGCTGGTGATGACAGCAGGACTGAGAGAATCCTCCCCCACCAATAACCACCTTAGAAACTGCTTGCCTGCCTGCCTACCTACGACACAAGATGTAAAAATGTTATATAGTGGGTCCAGTGAGTACAAGGCAAATTGCAAGCGCCAGCAGCACATTAAATTTTCACGTGTTGAGACTCCGACATGACAGCTGGCTGAATTATTTACAAGGCGGCTGTGGCGGCTGGAGCTTCTGGAGGGCGAGACCGGCAGAGCCGAGCCCCCCCCCCCGCCCGGGCTCGATCCCGCGCCGCGACCGGGAACAGGGTCAGCTCTACTCACATCCTCTTCAGCTTCTTGTAGGGGGTGAAGGCTCCGGGCGGGATGCTCTTGATCAGGTTCTGCTCCAGGCGGCTGCAGGGAAGAAACAGCCAGTCAGGGTGGGGTGGGGGGGGCAGGGGCGGGTCTCTCCGACCACAGGGGTGCCACTCAGCAATCACCCAAGCCCGTTTGTGCATGAATTATTGAAACAGACTGAAAATCCCATCAGTACGGGCAGTAGTTTTGGACGCAGCAAATATCACAATAAGTATTGCTATAGATAGATGTTAGCTACGTACTCTCAGTGTCTGCAAGAAAAGGATACGTGTGGCACTGAAACATGCACTTCAAGTACAGGTTCAAAATAAAATACCGCAGCTAATGCTGATGATAATGACACTATGCCGAAGTAAGCTGTTTTTGCAAAATAAGGTCATCTTATTTTGGCCTTGCTTTAACTGTACCTACTGGCAACTTAAATAAAGCCTTTACAGTGCTTTGCTTTGCTACTTTCCGTTAGGTCCCTTCGCACTTCAGTGCAAGAACAAAACTGAGAGGTCCTGCAAAGAAACGTGGGAGATCTGGAAGTAGGTTTAGAGGCGTCTTCACGAACGATACCAGCGCCAGCGAGGATTTCAGAGCGAGCAGGGCAAGTGGCCCCTTTCTTTAAAGACACGTATCCTAGCCTGTAGAGCATTCTGTTGATCCAACCATTCATTTAAAAATCTTCTCAACTTTACATTGCATAACAGCCACTCACAGACTCTGACCTATAGTGCCTGTGGGAAAGTCCTCAAGAGCTATAAAAAGCATAAAGTAACACATTGAAATACTCAATTAAAACCCAAAGAAAGTGAAAACTTGGGTTGCTGGTGGGCCCTCATGAAATACTCTTACAGAAATAGTGATTTTGGTTTCACTTTTAAGGTTGTGGCACATTTTCTAGATGTTTTCAGAGAAGAAGCGAGTAGTTTAAAAATTGCTGACGTAAATGGAGAGTATGTTTCTAAGGCAGGAAACAAGCAATTGATTCCCTTATAGCCTAGGGCCACTCGATCAAAGTGCAAATGAGAACACGTGAATTCTGCGGCAGCTCTGCCCATCCATCATCCAGAAGCTGCTTATTCCTGGAGAATTCCCGGGCCACAGAAACCTGGCCCCATTCGGAAATCACAGACAGAAGCCTGGACTACATCCAGGACGCCCGCCCATCATTGGGATCAGACATGTACAGGCAGACACTCAAGGAAACAGACATCACCTAGAGTGACCAGTCCTGCCGGTCAGCACATCTTTGCAAAGTAGGAGGAAACCAGAGCACCTGGAGAAAATGCATGTGGACACAGGGACTGTATGTAATGAGATTCCCGTTTTTTTAAGATCATAACTTATCAAAAAGTTTGTACACGGAAAGCCATTGTTAGAATAGGATCCAAATCAAACGGTGGTACATTCAGGTACAGAGTCGAATGAATGCTGAAAGAGAAGAGATTCTGCGGAAAACTGCTGCAGGTATTTAAAACCCTGAAGCTTACTGGCAAAGTAAACCCAGGTACACAGATTCATAATAATAATAGCGACAACCACCCATGGAGACGAGTGGAAACGCTGAGAAGCACAGAAAATAGGATGGTCTCCTTTACACAGGGAATCATGGGCATCTGGAACCAGCCCCCCAGCCATGCTGCTGAAGCAGGGTATCTGGGGCAGCAGGAAGCTATCATCCGGCCCCTAAACCACAAGCATCTGAAGAATAGAGGTGGAACAATTCCGCTGAGGCACAGGCGAAAGGAACTGGGGTGGGGCAGGGCAGAGAACTCACATTTCGACGATGCCCTCCGGCAGGCTGGCTGGGATGTCGGTGAGGCCCTTGCCCCGGCAGTCCACCACGTTGTTGTTGCAGGTGCAGGAGGCCGGGCAGGAGGACGCCTGGGCGCTGCAGGTACGCGGCTCCGCCTGCTGGGGGCCTGAGAGGGGGCACAGGAGGGGTTCACCGTTTCACGCAGTGACCAGGGGCCACCGAGATGAAAAGCGGCTTGAGAAGGCTGGGCGCAGAGGGAAGGCGAAGCGATACAGGAGTGGTGGGACGTTAGGCGCTCGTGAGCCTTACGGGAAGACCTGCTTTGCCAGCGCTCCCTGATCAGGCGAGACAGCAGAGACAGGGCGTAGAGCGCTGCAGAAACCTGCTGGGGGCCCCCCAGCGTCACAGTCCTCCAGAATCAAGCAGCCTGTGGTGCTTGAAAATGTTAATGGCATCTCGGTTCTTAAACGCTTACAGTATCTGCAGAGCTACCACCCCGCTCTGCACTGCAGCACACTAACCGGTCACAGAAGTGTATTTCTTTTACTCTTTACAGGATTCATTTGCAGATTTATTAGATAACTATTCCAATAAAACCGGAGGGAATCTTCTTTTCAGGTTGTTTGAAGCACTTGAGGAGGAGATTTACAGAACAGTAATAAGCAGGAATTACAAATGAATATGAATCTGCTTAAGCATTTCTGCTTCATAACAGATTAAAACAATAGACCAAGAATGCACGGGACTGTAAATAGCACCATTGAAATGCAAACAGTTTCTTGGGTTTCATGGTATAATCAGGGGAATATGGATATGGACAAAGAATGATATTCAGAAACATTGAATAATGTTAATGCAGCAAGACTGTGCAATTGCCCAAACATCATTAAATAGTAAGGAGCAGAGAGGCATTCAAGCTGCCACAGAAAACACATATAAGCAAGCTAAAAAATAAATACAGAGCGATATTATAGTATACTGTTGTAAAACAGTGGTCACAAGTTACTCCAAATATCAGAAATCAAATAATTCAATTACAGTAATTCAGTGGAAATTTAAAGCCTGTCAATATGGAGGACAAACTGATTATAGACTGCAATTTCATTTTGGCTTTGAGGAATCAATTCTTGATTTTTTATTATAATATAAATTGTGGTGGTAGTGTTGGTAAGGGTATAAATAAAAAGTATCATGAAGTTGATTTATGTCTGTACTTGTCACTGTGAATCCATGAACTGGCTTCATCACTCTGTTCTCCTAACCACTGAGAGCTGGTGTGTGGTGAGTGTTCTGGCGCACTATGGCTGCCGTCGCATCATCCAGGTGGGGCTGCACACTGGTGATGGCGGAGGGGAGTCCCCATTACCTGTAAAGCGCCCTGAGTGGAGTGTCCAGAAAAGCGCTATATAAGTATAAGGAATTATTATTAATTATCTGATGGACACTTCAGGCAGGAGCAGCTCCAGACTATCCCACAATCAAAATACAAAATATACTGATGTGTTGGATATATCTCGGACGTCTGTATCTATTATCTTGTGGACTCTCAGCTGCTCTGGAATTACGTGGCAGATGTGTTGATGAGCCTGCGCAGCTCCGGGTTATTCAATCACATCCTCAGTGCCCCCTGGAAACTGAAGACTCAACCGATCTTTGAGTCTGAAGCCACATGAATGTGCTCTGGAGCCACAGTGGTTTTTTAAATTTAATTTTACTCATGGTCTTGTGCGGAAGGTGGTCAGGCACCAGTTATTTAACCTACATTGCTGCCAGTCTTCCCCTCACGTAGACATACTAATATTTTTGGTCACACAACTGGAAGTTAGAAAAGTCAGAAAAGCAAACTCACAGAAAGGGAAAATCAAACATAAAACAGCTCAGCCGTGTTTTGGGGAGTCTCACATGAGCACCCAGAAGATCGAGGTGATGTGTTGAACTTTGTGTTTCTGTCTTATTGGGAAAAGGCTGTTGTGCACCAGGTGAGCGCTTCGTGACCTTGCTCTAGGGCTCTAGTGACTTACACCCATCTTCCTCTGTGTGTGTGTGTATGCTCACCTGTGCAGATGAACTCCTTCTTCTGGACCTCCGGCACGGTCAGGCCCCTCATGTGGGCTGGGGACATGCACTGTGTGAAGGGGGCGAGGCCTCGTCTCTGCCGCAGCCAGTCTGACAGCCAGGCCAAGTGGCAGTCGCAGTGCAGGCTGTTGGAGTGCAGGCGCCTGGGGGAGGAGGGGCACAGCATTCAGGCACAGACACCCATCTGCTGCTCTGAAGACAGAAGCCAGGAGCGCATCGCTTACCAGAAGTACAGAGCAGCACTTACTCTCCATCGCTGACTAGAGAGGGGCTCACTCACCCAGAAAGTGGCTATAGCACAGTGTAACGTTATAAAGAAAAGGAATTACACAACATCCAACTTTCTCCTTTTGCAAAGGTGAAAGAGATCAGAACGCCAGTGTGAAGAGACAAGAAGCGAATCAGGATATGTTCTGGAGGGGAGCTCCACAGCTCCACAGACAGTGAGTGCTCAAGCCCCCAACACCTATTTGTTCCAATTGCTCCCTGGGAATGACAAGGAGACCCTATGGTCTTTAAAAAGCTTGAGGAACGATATGGGGTGATTGCATCTAAGGCAGATACGATGGGATTATGCCAACATCAGTATGAGAAGACACTGTGAGCCAAAGCAGATTTCAAAGCACAGGACTGAAGTTATTCCCTTGTAGGCGTAGTCCTCGCCTGACAGATTCAACATTTTCAAGCATAAAACGGGCTCAGCGGGGAAATAAATATGGTCTCTTGTCAATTCCCTCGTGTTCCTGCTCTGCAGAACTCTGCGTCTGCTCCTTCGCGAGAGCAAGCGGGGGTACACTGTACCAGCTCATAAGAGAAGGGCTGTAACGAGCCAGAAGAAAAAACACCCGCAAATCGAAGGGGTTCTGCACTCATTTCAAAGCCCGGCCGTTCAAATGAGATTTCTGGCAAATCCTGCTAGGGACAAAAATCACTCATTGAAGAGAACAGTGGGCCAGAGGTTTAATAGACTTTTCCCATTAAAAACCCTGTTTATAGCTTCCCGTTTTTCCGGATTAATTACAGCGTAGTGGGATTAGAGTGGTCACAGGGCAAAACACACCGCGCCACCCACACTGACAAAGCACAGCGACAAGGTGTGTCTGCATGCGTGCTTGTGTTCCTGTTCTGGCTGCAGTGATCTCCTGAAAAAGAGAGCAAAAGGGCAGCCATCTGTAACAATCAATCCGCTCTCCAGACAATGAAACTGCCGACTGCTCCTGCCTACAACAGTGGGATGCTTCTCCACTTCTTTATTTAGCAGACTTATTGAATGGCAGCGCTGGGATGATATCATTCATTCTAATTGAATGCTTGTTTGAAACATGATATGGGGGGATGTGTGTGATGGGAGGGCGTGGAGGGGCGGGTGGGGGTAGCTGAACTATTTCATCAAAATCTGGAACCCACCTCCTGCTAAATGGATTACAGACATCTCTAAACATTTGATTTAATAAGTCGTTTTTACGAGCAGCAAATTCAATACAGAGATCTCATGGACATTAGAGCCAGAAAATTCGATACAGAGAAGTCCGAGCAGGGAGCCTCAGTCAGATAATTCAATACTGCACAGGGAGCTCAGAGCTGGGTAGCTGAGCGTCAGCAAATTCAATCCTGTACTAGAAAAGGTCTTGGGCACGAGACGGATGGATGGAACCAGTCCAGACTGACGAATTGTGAAGCGGAATTGTGATGTGCCAGTCAGAGAGTTCGGAAAACCACAGCACCTTACGGTGGAAACGTCATGCAACAAGCACTGGAGCCCCTGTAAAGCAGCCTTAAACACGTGAAGGTGTGAGGGCATTTTTTATTTTCATTGTGCACATCCCAACGAGTTTTACAGTACACCTTGAGCTTTGGGGGCTTTCACTTTCAAGACGTCAGCTGCCATTAAGTGCAACAGCCGTGAGTACTTGAGGTTGAAGTCAGGGTCCTGTCTACCTGACGTCACTCACTGCTGCAGGGGGGCCAACAGCAGGTCTGGAGAATTTCTTTGTCAGCTGTAGGTATTGTCAGATAGAATGCAGCTTCACAAGAGGACACCCAGGTAGTCTAAATGCAGGCTGTGATATTCAAAGCAATGGCACTGGACACAACATTCATTTATCAGCATATGGAACACGCAGAGACTTTAAACTTTGTTGCATGAGTGAGCTATACTGTTCTATGTTACTTTTGCAAACCTTCTACTGGTAATTTAAGTGGGCAAAGTCTGGAAAGAAGTATTGGCTTTGACCACTGTGAAAGCCGTCTAGAGCCACGACTTTGGACAGTCCATCTTGTTCGATGGGCAAGTGCGTGTTTAGTTCAGGTGGGTAGCTGCGTCAGCATGTGCGTGTGGCTGTTTGAAAAGTCTGTGTGTGAGCCTTTAAAGTCCAGCGGCTCACACAGCTGTACTTTTGCCTTTGGTGAGTAGAAATGAAAAACAAAAATAGCAAATACTGCAGACCACATGCTAATAAAAGCAGACCTAATGCAGTGTCTAAGTTAATACCAAGAGGCTGAATACACATGGGAAGACTTATTATTATTGATGGCAGTTGAATTCAGAGTAAATGTTCTACGGCACAAAAGAAAAACATGTAACATTTGTTAGCAATAACAACAACATTTTAAGCAAACAAGCCCGCAGTTTTAGTTTCTATGCCATGGAACTGGAATGTGAGCGATCTGTTTATGAAAAATTGCGTAAGAGTGAGAGACAATTATATAGTTTTCTAACATTACACAGATGGTAAGGTCAACTGAAATTATAAGTTGTGTAGAAAGCCTATTCATACAAAAACTTGTTAACTCTAAATAAATGTTTGTCCAAACATTAATAGCATTGCACTGTCAAGCTGTAGTCAGGATTTGTTATATAACATAAGGTAATTCTATTTAAAAATTTCCATTCTAAAATTTAGGTTTACTTAAACCTAAAAGAGGAGTTTCTGTTGTTAACAACTTAATATTTTTATTTTAAAAAAGCATATTGACAATATTTTCCATCCCATTAAAAGAGAATAAACTGTTTTTGTCGAGTCAGATGAGGTTTTTCTGCCATGAGATGGAGAACTCCAGTCTTTAAGGGTGACAGGATCACCTCTGATCAGAATTACTTAATTGGTCTAAACAAACTGAATTCCTTAAACTGAAACAAACACCTAAGGAGTAGTGGTTAGACCTCTGCTCTCCTGACAGCAATGTGGTCCATTCACCTCCTTTCTGCTCTAATGTCCTTCTCTCAAAGCAGTTGTACGAATGATTGGTGACGAAAAACTAATGGAAAAATCTTTGGAACTGTAAATCCTTTAACAAATGTAAGTCACACCGGAAAAAAGCATCAGCCAAATAAATGCAGGAAGTCAGTTTTGATGGAAACCAGCTCTTTGTAAGGTACTGAAAACCAGCACAACTACACCCAAGGTGACACCCCATCCCAGCAAGTGTGGGGCTCGGCAGAGGATACTCACAGCGTGCGCAGTTTGGGCATGTGGTTGAAGCTGGAGAGGGGAATGAGGGTGATGTTGTTGTTGTTGAGGGTGCTGAGAAAGAGAGAGAGAGAGAAAACCGCAGTAAATAAAACCACACTTGAAATAGGAAAGACGGCGGAGTGTGCCGAGTGTGGAGAAGAGTCCAGATGTGCGAGGAGCTCGGACTGCCCCAGATACCCTGTCGACACACAGGGCTTGAGCACAGGGGCCGACACAGCTCACACAAACGCACAGACTCGCGCCCCCTTCCTCGACTTGCACTGTGGGGACCTTCCCAGGAGAGAAAGGGAATACACCTGTTAACACCGTCTCGCATGACATTCTGTGCAACCAGCACCACACAAAACGTTCAGCTCATCAATAAAGTAAAAAAGTGCAATATAAACATCACATTTGTATAAGGGTGAGAGGAAACGGGCCGTGACAATAAGGATTATTGACATGAAAAACAAAACAGACTGAAGTTATAATGTATTTTTACCTTCTACTTTGAATTGGTACAAAATGTATAACTGACTAAAACTTTCCATCGATTGTAATCAGTTGTATCTTACACTTTTCAGATACAATGTGTAACATTATGTCATTTTTTGTGTCACTTTGTTCACATTTTTTTCCTGGGCTCCTGGCGGGGCCAGTGGCAAACAGGAGCCCATTCCAGAAGCACAGGGCACAGGCTGGCTCTACGTGCTGGATGGGACACTGGTTCATCACACTGTTTAACCCAGCCGGCAACATGTCTGTGTCTGAGGAAACCAAAAGATCCAACGTGAACCCATACAAAAATAGAGGGAGCACTTTTCATTTCGCTTACTCATAACACATGAGAAGTTTTAATTCAGAAATATGGCTCATCAGATATAGACACGGGATGCTTTTTACCAGCACTGATACAGAAAGGAACCACAGAGTCCACTGTGGCTGTAACTGCTTTAGATCATGTGGACTGCAATAGGCAGTTTTGCTCCTTATCAATGCACTGTGCTCTCCACAGAGACAATCAGGGATCCTGAAAATAGCATAGTAATGTTAATAACAACCAAGTATTAGGTCGTTAAATTTTTATGCGTTTGCAAATATAATTCTGTTCAGTGCTCCCTATTATCTCAAAACGTTTTCCAGCACTGTGACATTCATGCAGGTCAGCGGAAGGAGTCCGCCATGCATCAGTTTGGGCTGTGCAAGCAGTGTCCTCCCATGTGTCTCTCCAAAGGAGGACCCCCAGTTCGATACGCAATCCCCACCCACTCTCAGACAGTGCAGGCCTGAGCAGAACTGTACCGGTGGCATTCTTTCTGCTTCATATGAACACAGAAACTATTGCAAATGAAGAAATCATTGAACATTTAACCCCAGAATGCAATGCTTCACAAAAGGGCTACAAAACCAGACCAGGAAGCAGAGATTCAAAGACAGTGAGCACTTGTAAGTCGTGAACCCGTGGAGCATATTGTTTCTGACACAAAGTGAGCTCAGGGAGTGCGTACTGCCAAGCTAAGGAAAGCGGAAAGAGAAGACTGCAGCTCCTATTTCCTGCTGCCTGCTCTTTTTAACACTGTCATTTCATCAGCCCCTGGTGTTGTGGTGCATGTAATGTGAATGGTGTATGTCCATAACAGCGTGTAATTCGCTCTAACACAACGATGTTATCTGCAGCATGTGCGGCCATAATTGCGGACAGCAGTCATCTGCCTTCCTGTCCAACCAGCAACAACTCTGATTAGAGCTACTTAGCAAACCTTAATCTTGTAATCGCTGGTGCCCCTGTCAGGCCAGCCCTGCCGGCAGAAAGGCACTGTGCACTAGGTCTCTCTCTCTGGGGCTAAACGGTGGAAATTTGACTTGATTTATGGCTTTTCAGTTCTCTAAGAAAGTCTGAGAGTGAAAAACAACAGATCTGTTGCAGACTGTAAGCCAGATGAAAAGGGCGTCTGGTTACAGACGCTTTGCCTGTTTTCCCTTTGCTATGGACTGGGAGGATCCCGATGACCAGTTTTCAGATGCAGTGATGCGTAACGGAGAGCAGAGATGACGAGGACCGCATGACGCAGCCCAATATTTCTGACCAGGCCTGGGTTTGTACCACTGGAAAAATCCAGTCTAGGCCAACAGCAGCGTCTTAATATTGCGCCAAATTAAAAAAAATAAAATTTAATAAAAATTGCCATAGAAACACAATATACTTGAGCCTTGTGGAATAATTTGTTAATTTGCATTCGGAAGTGAGGACACTGAAAAAAAACACACATGCCCTGTACAATACGGGATGGAAAATCATTATAAACTGTTATTTAACAAATACTATCTAACCAAGCAACCTCCAATAGCACCTTTTAAGGCAGACACATTGGAGAGCAAGCTCATCGCCTCTGCTCTTCTGGTTTGCTGCCACATCGGCCTCAGCCACCCCCACCCGCCTTGCAGAGGAAACAGGGAGGGATGAAGAGCAGGCGGAGAAGACTCCGGGTGGGAACGCTGGAGAAACACCCTGCCAGAGCCCTCCCACGGGGCTTTCTCCAGGGGCAGCGGAACTGACAGAGCGTTTTCCGAGCGGAGCAGGGAGATGAATGGGATATTTGCAAGGGGTTCGTCTTTATTTGCTCATCTCTGGGGCCAGGTGCCTGCAGTAACACAGCAGAGAGCTGGAGACGAGAATCTCCTTACTGCAGTGGGGCCCCGGGTGTGCCCTGCTGCTACCCTGTCAGGCCTTCAGCGATCGCCCACGCTCACACACAAGTCTACAGTAGTACTGCATCTGCGGGCCAGGGGTTTATATCATCAGGAAGTCCTGTTTGTTTGCAGAACATTACTTTCTCTGCTCACTTCCACTCTTGGTCTCAACTTGGATGACCTTAGTCTGAAAGATTGTATAAATGCATGCAGCGTGGTCTGTTGCATATCGAACCACGTTTATGTAAACCTTTCAGGTGTTGTAATATATACACCAGTGTCCTGCTGCACATATTTGTAACCCTTGACATTTATTTGAGGGTATGGGGCTTTCAATGACACTGGCCTTAAATGCTGTCTAGAAAGAAAAAACAACGGCGCTGTGTCTAAATTAAAAAAAACAAGTAAACATAGCAACAAAACTGAAAGAAACACATTAAGGGTTACTGTGGTGAAAGAAAAGTGTAGAATGTGATGGACTGACTCCTTCACTCTTCGTATAATAAAGATAGCTGCATAGCCTCACTGCAGGATGAGGTGGCAGATATACTGGAACCAGGGACAACATGAACATAAGAGATGAAAGATGTTAAACCTAATTTGGAATGCACATCCATTGGCTCTCTATTTGTCAAGGTCAGTGCATTTTGTCATAGTTTTTTAGATGCAACTTGAAATCAGAATTAGATATATCTTGCAAACCGCAAACAATGTTCCAACATGAGGTCACCTTGTGATGTTTGCAAGTGTAAGCTTTGGGCCCAGTGCTGATGATGTCATCTGAACCCACTGTGTGGGCTTGGCGAATAAGGCCATGGCGACTGCTTTAATCAATTCCATGGTGACATGTCACACAGATTACGTGGGTCCTATAGTGCACTTAAGTTTTCTTTCCCTTGATCAGATTTTCTTTTCGAAGACGTAAGCTGATAACTCTCCCCCTGATTTTCCCTCTCCTGAATGTTGGCGTTGTGAGAAGAAAGCTTTCCCACACTTGTCATGCCCCGTTTCCTGAACTCAAGTACTCTTACTGCCTCTCCAGGCCCACTGACTCTCATTAGAGCATTAAGAACTGGGCCTCTAGGTACACTGTTGCAAGAAGACAAGAAGTCAGACCTTTCATTTCAAGGATTATTTCATCTGAATGAAAAAAGGACCAGCAATCAGGCCCTGAAAAGCCATCTGTGTGAGGTTCCAGTTCTGTAAATGTCCCGTACTGGAAAACAGCTGGAGCAGTCTTGCCTTGTTATCCTCAAACCTAGATTTGTGCAGATTTGGAAAATGTGAAAGCTGCTGTCTTGTCTAATGCTCTGCCGTGCCACAGCACACTTGGCAATGTGAGTGCAAATGATTATTCAGGTTTTTTTTTTTGTTGGTGGCAGGGGGTTATTTTACTAATGCTTTGTTAGAATGTGTGTGGATTTCCATCTGTTTCTGACATCAGGCAATTCTGGTTTCACAAACAAGTTACTACTTTAATCAGAAAGCTTTGGGAATTTTATCAAGACCGACACATGAAACCTAAGAACAGGGGTCAGTGAAGAACTCCTAATCACTCCTGACCTGACACAGTCCTAATTGGCCCCTAAGGATTTCAGGGTCTGATCTCCATTCATAAATGATGAGCCACCATGGCTGCTGTCACCCCGACCACCTCCCAGAAAAAGGAAGCTGGGTAATTAAATGGGCAGATCGCTTTGTGCAGCTCTGCGTACGTCTGGTCGCCCTCTATCTGTGTGTATCTTGGGCCATGTTTCTCAGAAGGTGGCCTGGTTTGTTTTCTGTACAGGAGAGGCATTACATGTTGAGCGAACAATTCTTCTCAGGTCAGGTATCCTTCTCAGCTCGTGGCATGAATGGACACCATACGACACTGTCCCCTACAAATCACCCTCTGTCCACAGCAAGGCCTGGGAACAAAGCAGCTTCTGCCCCCAGTTTTAGAAGATACAGTATTACCCGGTCTGTGCAGGCCAAGCCACTTCACAATGCTTGTGACCGTGTGGCCAGTCCAGAGGGTTTGAGAAACAGTGCTGGGTTTAGTGCTGGGGGGCATGAGATAGACTGGCAGGTACGTTATCACTTCCCCTGTTCTTCACTTGAAGAAAATGAATAAGGCGACTATTAACATAAACATTTAAAAAATGTTGTTCTTAAGCTCCTGAAACTCCCCAGAAGTGAAAGTAAAGTGTCAGACCTTTCAGAGGTACAGAAAGCTATCGCCATGCTGCCTTCAGGGGCTTGATGACAGGAGAGGAGTTACCCACACTCTGGCTCTTTGCTCTCAGACAATGGACTGGGTGAGGCCATTGTCTTGGTAAGACACAGTTCCTCATTCCGCATTTAAGCAAGGTGCTCCCCAGTAGTCACCAGTGGGAATC